TTGTTTTTTAACGATAATGTGACTGGAACCAGGTCACCATAACTTCAAACCAGAATCTATAGACTGATGAATTCTTCCTATTGGCTTGTTACACTTTGCTACCGATACTATTACTTGATATTAGGGATGTCAACGAGTACCCGGTTAACCGGGTACTCGATCGAACATCCGAGTATCGAATACTAAAAATAGTACTCGGTTACTCGGATGTGTATTTTTTCTTATTTCAAACTACTTATTATTTTCAAAAACTTATCAAAAAATAACTTAAAGATGCATACGGTAATTAGCGTGCCGTCATCTACACCCGTAAAAGGTGTGTTCCCGTTTTGCACCCATTCGATAATTACGTATGGAACAATAGGTGTGAAATATGTTTTGATAGCAATTATAGTCTGATCTCCGTTTGGCAAACCCCCGTAAAACACCCGTTATCGCCTGTGTATTTACAGTAATTAGTGACCAATCATTTCGTACACAGCTGTTCACACGTAGTGTGGTCCTTAATTTTTGGATGGCTTCAATGATTGTTTTCAATGAACATCATTTATGTATGGTCTATGATATTATCTTTAAATCATTTTAAAATTATTTAGTTAATATACGGCAGCGAAATCGGACATGCATAAAATGCCGCTACCCACTTCAAAAGTGAAGAAATATTTAGAAATAACTAAAGAATCAGAAAATGTTGAGTCAGTTTGCGTCGTAAGTTTAGTGTATATGGGGGAAACAACCAACATATGAAATAATATTAAACGATCCCAACAAATTCTGTTCCTTCTCTTTCGCTAGTCTGATCATCAAACCTGCGCAACAGATTGTCCTCATTTTGCATTGATCAAATACTAGTAGATCCTAAACAAGAACTGTAAACCATTTGTAATTTTTGGTGTATTAATTTTGTCTTTTGTGTTTATTTGATAAATAAATTTAGTAGCAAAAATCATTTCCGTTGGACTCGATGTTTATTTACATTAATAAACGTGATAAAAACAGCTTTGGGGTTTAACAGAGCTAAACGGGGCTCAAGAACACACTTTTTTTTCATTTTTACCGAGTACCCGGGTACTCGATCGGAAAAACGTCCGAGTAACCGATTATTAAATATTGACCGATTTGACATCCCTACTTGATATGAAAAAGATTTATCAAGTATATGAATTTTAATTATCGAAAATCTTAACACGTCCATCCGGGGCGTCAGTACATGCAAATTTGTTCGCTCGCTGCAAAATTTGTGCATCTCGGGTGGTCGGGCGCAAGGTTTTTTCAAACACTGTTGAAAACTAAAATTAAGTCCATTACACATGTTATTGATAAATACAACAAACACATAAAACGAAATTTTATCTGACAACAACAAGTGAACCTGTCAACATCAAACAGAATCCAAACTTTGTTAAGTTCGTAAGTTCCATGCCTTTTCAGTAGTATGCAATTAGTGAACTTTGATCCCGATCGAATGTGAATCGAAGTCCGGTTTTTATGTACAGCTTCCGTCTTGAAACTACCGATTAACTTTCTACAGTCGTTCTTTTTATTATTTAGAGACTCCTTTACATTAAAATGCACTTGTCCAATCAGACAAGTGCCCAGCAATATTCACTTGTCAGTAATTTTTTTGCACTGGTACCGGACATGCGGACAAGCGTTAATGTCAAGCCCTGTAATCTAAAGATTTCTACGTAAACTCACCGCTGTATCTTTCATGATGATTCTTTTATGTGACGTCAATAACGCCTCCAGAGGGTTGATCACCCGCCTTAAATAAGACTCGTCTTTGTGGTGGTCATACATCCACTGGGCATCCAACACGTCATGCATAGTGTACAAGTTTGCCTGAAAAATCAATACACAGTGTCACAAATACATGTACATTTGTTTTCCTCCAAAGAAATTGCTTCTTTGTTCAAATAAATGGTGAACTTTTCTAATTCATACAACAACAAAAAAACCTATTGTTTAATTAACAAGGACATCTACTAAAACACTTTTGTTTTCCAACCTCAAACACCCACCTTTTCTGACATGATACCAGATCTAACTCGTCTGAGCTCCTGCATTTGTCCCCCGACCCCCAGAAAGAGACCGAGATGTACACACATTGTCCTAATGTATGTGCCAGCTTCGCAGCTCACCCAGAAGATACCTGAGCAAGGTGTGAAAGCACCATTAATGTTAGACCGTAGTAACCTTGCATTCTGCAGATTATAACTTGCCTCATAGTTTTACAGTAAAAATTACAAAATTATAATAAAAGTATTTAGTTCTGAATTTCTGTTTTGATTATCTGGCACAGTTGCCATCAAAACAAGGGTGCTTTTCAAAAATAATTTCATATAGATTGTTCCAGTGTTAAGCAAAATAATGGAATTTCTAGCATTCATGTTATAGGATAAATTAATGCTCTATTTACCCATTGCATCATCCTTATTGTACTCCAGCATCTTGCATTCGTACACAGTACGAATTCTCAGCTGTCGCTTCACGGCAGAAATCAAAGGTGGTCTCTGGAACAGTGCCCCCGTCATCATCTCCAATTTCTGTGATATAAAATTCATACATTCAGCATGAGTTTGACATACAAAAACATGATTACAACAGAAGTTGAATACTATTTTTCTTTGTTTTTTATTTTGCATGCCGGTACATATGATCAACGTAAATCTTTTACAAGCTGATCTTTTATCTTTTTAAAATGAACAGTAAACAAGAACCCAATCACTTTCTAACTTGAAGAAAAATTTACTATTTTTAGAAAATTTTCGCCAGTTTTTTTATGGCATGTTTATCCAATTCACCTGTGCCACAAGCTTTTCATCATCTACTACACTGTGGAGCTTGAAGATACACACATACTCCTTCCCTGCTCCTTGCTGTGACTTGACCAGACGAGTGGCTCTCTCTACACACACAATGAGGCACCCCGTGACCTTTGGGTCAAGGGTCCCACTGTGTCCCGTCTTCTGTACCCGCAGGATTCTCTTCACCCATGATACAACCTCATGTGAAGATGGATTGGCTGGTTTGTCAAGATTGATAAATCCACTTCTATAAATCATAATTGAAAAGGTTGCAAAAGTGGAAGGAAAAAAAAAAAAGAATTTAAAATGAGAATACTTTACAAGAATTCACTCTGTATCTTGTGATTTGGTGGGAAGAAACCTACTTGATATATTCCTGTATTGGTCTTTTCAATGGAGAACAACCTGCTGGAATGGGGGTATAGTGAGCAGTCCTCACATTCAGTTTGTCAAAATTCTGCAAACACACAAAAATTAAAAATTAATTGTTTGCATTTCTGAACTGGATAAAATATTTTCAAATTACTTTTTTTTATTCATGTTTTATAATATCTATGTTATGACCCATGGCAGAGTTTATAAAGATTTAATGAGCAATCTTGAACATAATTTTTTTTTTATCTGCATTTAAATATCTTCTTTACCTTGAGTAGCAGTGGCCATTGTGATGTGTCCAATTGTTCCACAACAGTGGAGGGCTTCAGAAGAAAATTCTCTGAGTGTTGAGCTTCCTGCAAATATAAAGGTATATGTAACTGGCAAGGAAAATGCAATGGACCAGACCAGGATTTGAACCTGGGCCCACTGAATCACTAGTCTGGCGTTTTACCAACTGAGCTTTCTGGCCACTGGCAACCAAACCTGCCTGACCACCATAATATCTTGTCATGTGACAGTGAAACAAGGGTAAGCATGCATATTTACTCAAATAATTACATTAGCCTACATGCTAAAGTGTGTGACCTCTTACTATTTGCAGGAAATAATCAATTCCACTCTTGACTTCTTGTATGATAAAATTAACATTAAAATTGATTAAGATATGAGTCTTATTGTGTATTTATGCTAAATTTTTTAGAGACAAATATACATACTGCAACATCAATTGCTCCACTCTTCCTCTTTTTCTTCTTGTGCTCTACAAATATTACCAAATAATGCAATCTATGTCACAAGACGAAAAATATACTTATTAGTATTGAATAATTATTCCCAAAATTTACCAATTTCCTGCATTTGATTTTTGATTTCTCAGTAAAATGAATACTAAACCTAAAAACTAATTTGAATTATTATATCATAGGTAAAATAAATGTATTTGGATACTATAGTAACCTACATAGCTATAGCTGAAAACAAATCACCAATGCTTTTTAAATGCATTCCAAAATGAAACATAATGAATCTGACACACTTTACAGAACATTAATTTTTTATCACACTACTCTGCTCATCAGAAATAATCAATGTATCAATAATATAAAGAAAGCGTGATAAAAAAAGAGAGAGATTTGTCGGCTCTGGCAGACTTGCAGCTGTGTCAACCACGTGTGCAATCGTGAATCATTCATGTAGTGCAAAATATAGAAACGGCAGTGATGTATTAGTCAACAAACCTTATCAGAGTATAATTTGCACTACAATGTAAAGATAATACAGCCCCCTAATGCCTGAAAACAATGATATAAGAATTCTTTTAAACTGTTTTTCTTACCGCTTTCCGCCATTGTTATTTACGGAGCACGTGTTCTAGAAAACATAAGAGGAGTTCCGAAGGCATATTCTAAAACTCGAATTGGTTCCAGGATAGGAAATTCGCTACAGTTTCATAATTTCTTAATTGTAGTTGATTAGGAATTTTAAAAAAAATAACTCTTTGCTTACAGATAATAAATATATAAACTAACAGCAAAAGTTTGATTCGTATTGTAAGAAGGAATTTATGTACAAGCCTGCAGAATCAATGCATCTTCAAAACGTTTCACATATAATAAAATTTTCACTAAGCGCTTCTGTAACAGAGGAGAAGAAAGTGAAAGTAGAACAGAGTTTCATCGATGCTTCTCATAGAGTTTGTCATTGATATATTATTACCACTTGTAAGTAGTATTTTTTAGGTATAAATATGTCATTTGGTTATCAAAGTTTAACATAGGGTTGTTATAAAATTATGCTTCTTCCATGCAGCATTATCCATGTCTGGGTTTCCCAAGTGACTAAAGATTAAAGATGGGTGTGCAAGGATTATGGCAGCTACTCCAACCGACTGGACGACCTGTTTCCCTTCAGTCTTTAGAAGGAAAGGTTCTAGCAGTTGGTATCCTTTGTTTTCTATATTGGAATGAGTTGGTATGATTCTGTAATATTTAATGTACTAGTAGTGGGTATTCTTTGTTTTTATCAATCTCCTATGTAGAGTTATTGCTCGTTCCTCTCTCAGAAACCTCTGCAATATGAGCTTGCGTCAAAATTTTTGACATAAAGTAGAAAACATGATATTCCAAGGATTATTTCAAATTATACTAATAGTTCTTTACCTATTTAGGAAATATCTACCTTAAAAGACAAACATTAGCACAGAGAAATATTTATAGTGAATTAAAACAAACGCACTATTTCTTGTGCTACACACTGTGATATATGCGAGCCAGTGACGAATACTACTAAACAGAGAACCCTAGAGAACTCTAAAGAACCTTAGAGAACCCTAATGATTTTGAATTATGTATGGTCTGTAAATGAAATTTTTATGTATTAGATAACCAGTATATCAAACAAAAACAAAATCAAATTTGAAAAAATAACATTTTGACACGTTTTATGCTTAATTTTAACAGATTACTTATCTCTGAAGATACATACCTTTCATGATACATGTATAAGTAATAAGAAATGAATTTTATTCATACGTTTTACATTAAAGTGAATGGCTAAGAGTTATCATATCTTTAAAAATAGTATTAAATTAAAAAAAACGTGAAAAAGAATTGTAAACTTGTGATAAAATTAATAATAATAAACATTTTTGAAATTCAATCGGGATCGGGATGACATAAAATATTTAACCATCTATCTGTTTACGTTTTTCAACTATTTTTGGTGGAAAACATTCATAAAATAACTTTATCATTGACTATATAGATAGAATATGATTTTTAAAGTAAAAATCAACCCAATTATGCATAATATTTATTTGAATTCACCAAATAAACCTTGAGTTCTCTAGGGTTCTCTAGAGTTCTCTAGGGTTCTCTGTTTAGTAGGACCGGCCAGTGACAGAGTTGAATGTATGAGCCGATGGTAGAGAGTGTGTTTTTATATTGACTGCATAGACTGCACTTTTACCGGTACAGCCACCATTCTGATTCCAGATCCGCACGTGAGATGGCACGGCATAAATACTAAGCAACACATCAACTATGATGGTATATTTGAAATTTCAAATAATTAGAGGAATATGATTTTAAAATAAGAATAACGGTATTATTGAGCCACCTTAACCATGGGACTATAGACGTGAGTATATGGCTACATCAGGCAGTGAAGGGTATGAGAGACAAAAGTGGGAACCCTCTACCAAACGCCCACCTACATGTTCTTTTTACCAGAGTCTGTAAACTGCTCTACTACAAGATCAAACCTGTGTTTGTGTTTGATGGGAGTGTTCCTGAGCTTAAAAAGCAGACAATGGTAAGAGGTTTCACTCTTGATAATTTATTTCATTTTCTGCAAAATTTTTAGGCCAAACAAAAAAATATGTGTGATTCCGGTTACACTTCCAAAAAAATTAGGGTAGGTAGGTAGGGATTTTTTTTTTTTTTTTTTTTTTTTTTTAACAAAATGATTTTCTTAATTTTTTCTAAATAATACCTATCACTGCTTTGCAAATGGCATTTAGATGTGGTGTGATAATATACTAGTCAATATTGGTAGGGGACACCTACATGCTAGGTTGCTTTGGATTTAAGACTATTAAACACTTGCAGTATGTTTTGCAAGGAGGCCGTCATTGCTGAAACTAAAACTTAAACTGGAGCCATTGATGGAAATCAGGGGAAATTCAGGAAAAAACATGAAAATTGCCAAACAAAAGTTTAGGGTCGGGGTATAAAATAGGGAAGGTCGGGTAACCGGAACCACACATATTTTTTTATTTGGCCTTATATTTAAATCTTGAAGTTTGTAGTTGTAAATTGTTGCACAGATGAATTTTTTAATACATGTTTTACTTTTATGCATGTAATGGACAATTTGATCTTTGTTAAGCTATATGGTTGATCCAGGATAGTTTAAAGCTGCTCTAAATCCACCACTGCATAGGACTTAAATAAATAAGTATATTACTTTCAATTAGTACGCCTCATGCATGTTGTGCATGTGTAAAATGAGACCACAGTATTATGCATCTTAAAAACCAAGGAGAATATCTATAAATTAACATCTTATAAAGAGAAATACAGTTGACATCTTTACCTCAAACACTGTTTTGTTGAAAACCAGGGATTTGTCAAAGTGAGTTACAATCTCAACCTTCTAAGAATTTGGAATTGATTGAGCTGTTTACATTTTACAATCAAACTACATTTCTAAAACTCCGGCGGGCCAAGGAAAATCTAGAGGAAAAAAAAGATATCTAAGGGTTTGAGATATTGAGGTTAAAATACATAAAGGAAAAGTGGTTTGGACTTCCAGTTAACTTTGACACATCCATGCATGGTCTTTGAAATATTGATGTTCAGTATATCAGCCAGCTAGCAGAGTGAACTGTATATGTCAATTTGTTTTGAATATAATAGACTTAAACAATAAAACAATTGATTACCAGTACTTTATAAACAAGTTAGAAATTACCAGATGTATTTGAGAAATATTTGTCCTTCAGGCCTCTCGAAGAGAGAGAAAGATGGTGGCTGAGGTTGAAGGTGATAAAGCATCTAAAAAGTTACTGGACAATCTCCTAAAAAGCCACGCCCTAAAGGAGGTGCTAAACAAAGGACATGCTTCTACAGCAGGTAACTCCAATGTGTCACAGCCCTCAACTTCTACCCAGCCTTCAACATCAAGTCAGTCACAGGAAACAGCTGAAAAACGAGATCTTTTTCAGTTACCACCCCCACCTGAAGAATTTGTAAGGTATTCAGAAAAAAAAATCATTTGGTCATGCAGAATTCTGATTATATTTATTGTGTATATGTAGGGCAAATATTAAATATGATTATATACTAGATTTAACATGTGAAACAACCTCTTTTTAAATGTCAGAAGTAGTAAATGTTGACTAATTTTTTTTTAAGAGCCCAAGAACTTCAGCCTTGGGAGGAAGTTACTTCAAATGCAACCATATTTCAGGTAGGTATAGGTTAAATACAATGAGATTTTGTAGTTATAATGAAAACTATTCAACAGATGTTCTACACCTGTGTTATCAAGATGTTTATTGAAGGAACTTTTAGCTGAAAAAGATCTTTAAATGAGTCGATATACATAAAAAGCTTTCATCATTATTACACGTAGGTATCAAATATCACATTAAGACACATTTATCAACCTTGGCACTTGATGCCATAAATATCGTTTTATTTTAAAATATGTTAACTAAATGTTTGAAATATGAACATATTTTTTTTTTGTTACATCTAGTACTTGTGTTCCTGATAACTGTATATACTGTATGTGTACATAAATTGGCATATTCAAAATTTAGCGCAATCACTGGGTATGGAGTTGTTGGTGAAATCATAAATTAGCGCTATACATGTCTGTGCCGTATATTGTATTTATAATTGATTTCTTAGTGGTATTCATGAATTAGCGCATCGTTGTCTGCGTCAAAGCCAATAAAATATGAAGCCCATTTTTTTTAAGTACGCATACAGTATATACATGTATTAACATCTTATTCATGAAATTTTTTCATAGGATGAGTTTCAGAACTTGGATGATGTAGATATTGACTCACCTGAGTTTAAAAGTTTACCTTCTGAGATCCAGCATGAGATTCTGAGTGAACTCAAGGAAAGGAGAAAAAGGCTTACTCGATACACAAATCTTGTTCTTCCTGAGGTTAGTTATAAAGACTCACTCGATACACAAATCTTGTTCTTCCCGAGGTTAGTTATAAAGACTCACTCGATACACAATTCTTGATCTTCCCGAGGTTAGTTATCAAGACTCACTCAATACACAAATCTTGCTCTTCTTGAGGTTAGTTAAAAAGACTCACTAGATACACAATTTTTGATCTCCCTGAGGTTAGTTATAAAGGCTCACTCGATACACAAATCTTGTTCTTCCTGAGGTTAGTTAAAAAGGCTCACTCGATACACAAATCTTGATCTTCCCGAGGTTAGTTATAAAGACTCACTCAATACACAATTCTTGATCTTCCTGAGGTTAGGTAAAAAGTTATTCATTTTGATTTGGGGTAATTTTCTGTATCTGAAAATTGGATCATCCAAAGACCCTTTTTTAAGGAGTTTCTATGTACCCTCAAACCTCTTTATCTCTAACTCAATGGGGACAAAAAAAACTTTATTGGAGGATAATGGAAGATTTGAGATATGGAGGTTAAAATACATGGAGGAAGAGAAGTTGGGACTTCAAACTCGCTCGGCTAGGATAAGGCTGTCCGTAAAATATCACATTGTTCCAGCCGTAGTAAATTCTCTGAACTACCAACACATATACTGTAGATATGACATCAAGTCACTGCAAACCTGAGCTTACTTGATCCGAAAAGTGTCATAACTTTACATTCCTTTCATATGACATGAAGATTTTTTTTAAGGATGTTGTTTTATTCAGGGGTCTGGATTGCTTTGAAATTTCAAAGAGTAGATTAATGTTCCATCAAAAAAAAAATAATGAGAGTTGATATTTTTTTCTGATTTTCAAGATTTTTGCAAATTAGGATTGATTTTCAGCTCTTAAGCACACAGGGAAATAGTTTAGGAGATCTCATTTTCTTTTCCTGTATCCACAGGATTCAAAAGTATATTACTACAGGGAAAGATGGATAAGGATTTTTTTTCCTTTTTCTTATATTTTACAGGATTCGAATGACTTCTCAAGTTTCCAAATGAAAAAAATTCTGAAACAGAGCCACTTGTCAAATAAGATCGAGGAGGTGAGAAAAGAAATGAACAGCCAGGTTTCCGGAGCAATTACAGAGGATCTCGGTGAGCACACCCTGGGAACCGAGATACAGACTCGTCGGATTCTGTCCGATGACAATTCACATTTCATCCTCATCAAAGGATTAACTAATAAACGTAAAATGGAGGAAATTAACAGAATTCAAGAGGAAACAGAAATGGCAGAGGAAATGGAGGAGGAATCTATAAGTGGAGTAGAAGGAAAGGAGGAACGACCTGAAAATTATAAGGATGATCTGGTAGAAAGTGATACTGAAATATGTGACCATGGAATGGACAGGGAAAAATTCCCAGAAGGAGGTGGCAATATTGAATGTCAAGTGCAGAAAAATAATGAAAATGGGATTAAAGATGAGAAATCATCAGTGAAAAGTGCTGATAAATCTGTTAAAAATGAAGGAGTGATAGACATTAGTGATTCAGATGAGGAAAATAATGAAACAGACAATATCATTTCAAGAAGACAGATGGAAGTTAGCAAAAGTAAGAACAAAACATCTCAGTCTCACATAAAGTCTCAGGAAATAACCACTGCAGAATTTAACAAAGTCAGTTCTACCTCAATTACCCTGAATGTGGATAGAAGTCAATTATCTGTAGAGAAAGAGAGTGAGGAAAGGAAACCTAACGAGAATGAATCCAGCGATTCAGAAGGTGTGTGATAATATATAAACACTTATTTACTTACATTAGAATGAAAAATATGATACTGATGTCCGAAACAATTTAAATTGTAGTATCTATTAAACTGCTCTGAGTTTTGTCATAAAAGCAACTTCTAACTGCAATATCGAACATTTTATTTTAAGTAGATGAGGGATTCATTGAAGTATCCATTGATCCCCAAAATGTGGGTCCTGACGAACTGTTTCCAGCTGATATATTTACCACTACCTCAAAGCCAGACCTTATCTCTGTTCCTGATGTTGAATCACAAAAACAAATAGTTCCTGAGGTTGAACCTCACAAAGAACTAGTCTCTGAGGTTGAACCCCAGTACTCAAGAGAACCAGAACATATTGAAGCTGAGTCAGAAACCATAGAATCCAGTCCAGAGGCAACCAGAGACCTCGTTAAACAGTTTACAGAATTAGTTGAGGTATTCATTAAGTTTTTTTTACAAGAATGAGAAGAGGTCGTTTTCTGTTGTAAAATTTTGCAAATTCTTTCTTTAAATCTTAATGATGATTACTGATGTCTCTGTTCCAACAGAATGATGTTAACAGGTTGTCAGAGGAACTAGAACTCGAGTCACGCTCACTACAGCAGGAGAGGGGTCGACAGGAGAGACTCGCGACGTCTCTCTCTGACCAGATGTTCCTGGAGGCTCAGGTCTGTATGTGAACCAAACCTTCTTCTGGACATTAACATACTAGTATCTCTAAAGATATCAATACAACTTATATTGTAGGAATTTATGAAAACCTATTAAATTCTTAATTCATGAATATAACAGAAAAAAAATAATCAAAAAAATACATGAAAGAATCGACAAAGAAGATTTCCAATCCTTGATTATGCCAAAGAGTCCTGCGTTCAAATTTTGAATGTGTATTGATGTATACAATTACTCTGCAGGACTTACTCAGATTGTTTGGGGTGCCGTATGTACTGAGTCCAACAGAAGCAGAGGCTCAGTGTGCATGGCTCGACTCAATCAATCTCACTCATGGCACCATTACAGACGACAGTGACATCTGGTTGTTTGGTGGGAGACGTGTATATAAAAACTTTTTCAACCAAGATCGGACGGTAGAGTTTTATCAAAAGGAAAGCATACAAAGTCAGCTAGGTGAGAGACAGCTTTTACAGCAGTGTTATTCCTAAGAACCGACTACTGGCCAAATTGGCTGCTTTGAAATAAAAAAAAATCAACATTTAATTGTTATGTGGTCCAAAGAGATTTGTCATAAACTTCAACCCAAAGCCTGTCACAATTGATCTCTAACCCTTTACTTTGAAATAAAGGGAAAACACTGTACAGTATTGTACACATATTTGTTCAGTATCAAGTATGTCAGTGAAACACATATTTCACTATTTGCGCATTTCTCATAATACTCATTAAATCAAGTCTAAATTGAGGAGAGAATTTTCAAGCAGTTGTATGAACGTGCGATTTAGTTTGGAGTGGAGCAAGCCAATTCCATAGCAAATTTAGTTTTGGAGAATGGAGAATAAATAATGTACAATAAAATCTGAACTATCCCATGTTAAACTGATGTCTCCATTGCTGACTGTAGGTCTGAGTCGTGCAATCCTGATAAACATGGCCTTGTTGTGTGGGAGTGACTACACAGATGGAATCCCGGGGGTGGGACCTGTGACTGCTATGGAGATCCTGAGTGAGTTCCCTGCTTCAGACATCTCCTCCCTACAAGCCTTCAAGTAAGTCAGGAAAGAGTAAACAGGTCAACTTATTTATTGTCTTTGAAAGTGGGAGATGGCAAACAATTTGTGTATCATACTGAACATCAACAGAGAAATGTTTTAAGTCATAGGCTGAAAGGAATCTTAAGTATTCCATTTTTATTTTTTGAAAGATCTTGGTGGGAAGAAAGCCAGAAAAAGAAAAGAAATCCAAATGTGAGCAAAGTCCGATCAAAACTAAGGCAGCTGGAAGTTAATGAGGGTATATTTACTTGATTTTTACTTGGCCAAAAATTATGCATTTAAAATGTAATATATGTTGTATAATACTGAGTGTAATTTGTCATCAATTTTACATTGCAGGCTTTCCAGACCACAGAATAGTGGATGCATACCTGAAACCCACAGTGGATGATTCAGAAGAGGCGTTCTCCTGGGTCCTCCCTGACCTTGACCTTCTGAGAGAGTATCCTTAACCCCACAACAAACATATAAAATAGCTTTGATATTTCAAACGATTTTGGAAATCAAATCTTGGGTTATCTGTTGTGCATTTTTTTGGAAGCTCCTAATGAGTATTAAATCCTTATGTGTTATAAAGATATGCAAAAGAAAAGCTGGGTTGGACAAAAGTAAAAACTGATGAAGTTTTATTGCCAGTTCTTCAGAAGTTAAAGGACTCACAGGTATGTCATAAATGAGAAGGACATAATTGATATGTAAATATATGATCATGTGAAAATGTATGGTTGTAAGTATACAGAGTTTGTAATATGGATGACAAATTTCATAAGTGGTAATCACTTCTTATACAAAATGATTTGATTTTCAGACACAGACTAGAATAAATTCTTTCTTCCAACCGGAGAACTTCATGGAACCAAAAAAGCTAAAAAGTGTTAGGTTAAAAAGGGCTCTCAAAAAGTTCCATGACTCTCCAGAAAAACAAACAGAAACTAAAGTAGTCAGTGATTCTGAATCTAAAAGGAAGGATAATGAACATGGAAAAACAAAACGAATGAAAGTAACCAATGATCAAAGCACTAAAAAATCAAAAGGAGTGAGCAATAGCCATATGAGACCTGCAAGGGGAAAAGGTTCAAAATCTGTCCAAGGGAGAGGGAGGGGGAAAGGGAAAGGTCCTGCGAAGAAAACTCAGATTACAAAGAGGCCTGTATACAAAGATGAGGTGAATCTGTCGGAGAGCAGTTCAGATGACCAAAATGATGATATGGATGATGACAACGATGATGATGACCTCCTGGCAAATCTAGACTATGAAAGTTGGCAAAAATGATGTGAAAGTTAAAAAAAAATGATGTGAAATTGGCAACAGTTTATTAATAAGAGGACAAATGAAAAGTTAATTGAATGCAAAGTCATACCAGTATTGTAAATTATGACATACAGGTTGTATTGCATTTGTCTTTCATTAGAAAATTTTGTTAATATTTATTTACTCATGGAATTTAATTTATTTATTTAATAAAATACTAAACAGTGTCGTAAATAGCTCTCGTGATTTGTAAAGTTTGGTAATTTTTACAAGGAACCACTGAGTTCCTGGTATTATTTTCTTGTTTCAAAGTATTCATGTGGTTACCTCTACAATACTCATTGAATCAAACACTAATGCTCACAAAAACTTGTATACAAAGTGGAAATTGTTACTTTTTATATCCAGTATACTTTGTGGACATCAGTGAATGTTTATAGAACATGTAAATAGACGAAACATAAGTGCACAGTATCACATAAAATAGTTTATCAATATTGTATTTGTCTGCGTCATAGTAACTAGGAGTAATAAAAAAAGGTGTCGGCTACCCTTATATTACCCTAAAATCCTTTTTATGTCAATGTCTGCCTTTTGAGTTCTCAGTTCGTTGTTTGTATGTGAATATTCTCAAGTGCATTAAACCCAGGAACCAAATTTTGAACTTGCTGATAATTGTCTAGACCCATGACTGAGTCTATCTTTTCAAATCAAATCAAATTTCCATTCATTTTCACCTACTACATTTCCAGGTGTGCATTTGTTTACATTCCCGTTATCTTTAATACTGTAATAATTATTTTCTCCAGTTTCTGAGGAAATATTTGTTTCTAAATTAAAAAGATCTTTGAACATATCTATAATTGCAATAACATTTTTACCCACTACATATCCAGGTGTTGATTTGTTTACAGAAATTCCCGTTGTTTTAATACTTTAATGATTATTTTCTTCAGTTTCTGGGCCAATATACATTTCTAAATTTTTTTTAACAGATATTGATATAATATGGATTGTCGCTTTTGGTCATTAACAGAACTGCACTAGGTTTAAAAATAACAATATTTAATTGAACGAAACAAGAGGCCCATGGGTCACAATGCTCACCTGAGTTACTTTGGCCCTGCTGTTCTCCATCAGCAGATTTTTTTCCTTATATACATGTATTCCTTTGGAAAATTTTGACTGCCATTGGTGGTGCATTATGACCAATAGGTAGGTGTGGCCACAATGGGGGATCAAAGTTTAACATAGGATTGTATAGTGAAAATCTTTAAAAATCTTCTTGTGAAGAACAGCACTGCCATGATTAGTCATATCGATATGGAAGCATCCTCTGGTAGTGTAAATTCAAGTTTGTTCAAATCATGACTCTGAGGATAGGGTGGGGCCACAATGGGCAATCAAAGATTTACATAGTAAAAAGAAAAATCTTTAAAAATCCTCTTGTCAAAAACAGAAAAATCATGATTAGTCATGTTGATATGGAAGCATCCTCAGGTAGTGTAGATTCAAGTTTGTTCACATCATGACCCCCTGGGGTTGGGTGTGGCCACAATGGTATTCAAAAGTTTTTCATAGTCATTCATAGGAAAAATGATTAAAGATCTCAAGAACAGCAAAGACATCATTAGTCATATTTGTATGGAGCATCCTAGGATTGTGTAGAATCAAGTTTGTTCACGTCATGACCCCGGGGGGTGGGATGAAGCCTCAATATGTGATCAAAGTTTTACATAGGAAAAGATGGGGAAAATTCATTCTGCTTTTGAAAAACAGCAGGACCATAATTATGAATTACTCGAGTGAATGCATGGGCATCTTGTCTTAATTATCTCCCCTTGGAAGGGGACTTCGTACTTCTTTTAAACAATTTTGAATCGCCTTTACCCAAAGATGCTTTGTGCTATTTTTGGAAATTGGTCCAATGGTTCTTGAGAAGAAGACGAAAATGTGAAAAATTTAGAGATGGACGGACGCCAGACAACAGATGATCAGAAAAGATCACTTGAGCTTTCAGCTCAGGTGAGCTTAAAATTGACACAGTCAGAGAGCTAGGGTTCCGCTAAGGGTTGTCAAACAGCTGTCAAAGGAAAGTGTCAACTGACTCGATACAGTAACGTTTCGGATAGTGTAGAATAGAATAGGGAATTTTACATTTGTATGTGAAAAGAATTACATGTACTAATATATACATAGAGACACACATGTACATACAAATTGAAAGACAAAACGATATGACTACTATAAATCAGCCAAATTAACAGCATTTGCATTTGGACCTTGGACCTCAAGTTATTTCTTTCAATATTGTAAACGTCTGGTATTTTTCTTTAAGTCAAAGCCCTCACTTCATACTGTATTATTATGATCATGTGTTTTTGTGTAGTATATTATTTATGCAGATTTCCTTCGTTCAGACTAATTTAAAAAATCCACATTTCATTTCCCCCATTTTAAAATCATCTCCAGAATTAACGTTTTAAGGCAGCATGATGTATTTATTTTAATTATTCTGTGTAACAACCAAAATCCTCTGATTGTGTACTCAATGTAATGGTGTACACTCGGTGAAAATAATGAAATATTCAATACATCATTACTTTTTCTAGATCTATATGAGAAAAAAAAATTGTAAATTTTATAAAAGCAGCAATTAAAGAAAGGCTCAACATTCAAAGTGAGTTACTAATGAAAAAGGAGAAGATAACGAACAGTGATCGATCTCAAAAGAAAAAAAAATTCAAACAATACAAATCTATGAACAAGGCATAAAACACGGTCCCCTGGAAATTCCAGAGGTGAGATCAGGAGCCTAGGAGGAGTAAGCATCCCCTGTCGATCGGTCTCATCTGCCATGAGCCCTATGTTTTGATCAGGTAGACAGAATATTCTACTAACTAAAAATGGTGCAATTTGGGGTTATTCAAACTTTTCCAAATTTCTAATAATTTTATGAATTCCAAAAAAAGCAATCCCTGTCTCTGCTGAATCGCATGACCCTGTAATATTGTATATAATTGATATTAAAGAGATGCTTGAGTTTCTCATTGACAAAATTTATATGGTTTTTGTAGAACAGACTTTCTAACATTTTTTTTTTGAAATTCCAATGGGTACTTATTGTGCCCTATTATTAGTAGACCTGTTTTTGTATTTAAATGCAGCAGAATTTATATTTAAAAACTTTCATATGAAAAGAGGTCTCTTTCTGTAGCCTTCAATTCGACATTGATATATTGACTACGTTTCATCAATTAACAATATTCATTTTCATCCCTGCGTTGAAACGATATATCCCATTGAACGGAAAATAAAAGAAACCTGAGTCTGACATATCTTTTCATATTTGGATGTAACACCAGAGAAAGATATTGATGGCAAACAGACAATTAGACTTTATGATAAACGCGATGACTTTAACACTTCCCTTACTTATGTAGCAATAAACCATTATTACCTGCATATGGAGTATATATCTCCAAGTTGAATCGATCCACAAGAGATGCTCTACATACGAACAATTTCTAAAACGAGACAGGACATTGACAAATAAATTGATGATACAAGACTATCAACAACCTCGTTTAAAGGCAACATTTCTGTTTTATAGTCGATACAATAATGCAATCTGTCGTTGGGTTGAATGTTGACTGACGTCTTTTAGACAAATTGTTATGCCATTATATTATTTTCACTATCAATTCATAACGGATTTTTCGTTTACCCGATCATGATAAGGAGCACATGGCGGTGGTGACAGGTCGGCAAGGGATGCTTACTTCTCCATGGCACCTGGTCATACTCTGTTTACAGAGTTCCGAGTTGGCTCTACTCATAATTTACTCATAATTTGTATGTTTAAATGGACTTTTGAGAATGATCACTGATGGTTATCTTCACATTTCATACATGTACATCACATATTTCGGTGGTCATTTATACCTGTATCTTCCATTTTAACCTTAAGCCCCTATAATACAAAAAAATGCACTGCAAAATTTGCATCACATGCCATATACTCACGAGACTCTAGTATCATTTACCACTCTTACTTTATACATCATAACAGGTGCTCCTAAATAGTACATGGATTTAACTGTCCTTGTTTACGAACTTCCATAACTTTTACACAGATATGCTACAATGTTCAAATTGGAAAATACTGTAAGTTGTTTATTCTGTAGAATTTAATAATCAAACATTATCAAAGTTTTTTTTAAAAATTTTTTACAGAACTGCTGAAAACCTTGATTAACATAAGAAGTAATTTTTATTTTGTTGTTATTATAAGTTTGATTTAAATAAGAATTAATAACGAAATATGGGCACTCAACACATCCGACTGTACTTGATTTTATGGTTCATATAATTATGCAGATGTGGTTTTATGAACATGCTTTAATTTTATATGATTGAATCAATTCACTACACATGTACATTATATGTTAGACTCTGTACAGGAATACTTTGACAAGTCCAGTTGTGCATCTTACCCACAGTATAGACTTGTATAGTGATAAAGAATATTGACGGTTCACTCCATTCTCTGTCAGTAAAAACTTTATGAACTCTCCGTCAGGACTCAAAAGATGGATCTGTTTGTTGTTTTTGTCAGTAACAAGGATGTTACAGAGGGAGTCACACACTACATCTCTTGGATCAAAGTTCTTCAGGTTCTGTCCACGGTAGACAGACTTCAAATAACCTGAGGGAGACATAATCACTAGATTACCTGAAGTGAAACTTGTAAGGTTCACAACACAGATATCACTGTTACTATTCTGTGTGACTCTGACTGGCACTGTAAACAGTCTGGTCTGACCGTCCTCCTGGTACTCATACTCATGGATGACATCACCTGTCAGTGTGATGTGTCTCACCAGATATCTGCTGTGTGAGTCTAATTTGTTTAAAATTTCTGATTCCAGGTCTCTAAATGTGACCAGTAATCCACCGTCCACTGACTGACAAATTCCCATGGGTACCAGTAGATCTGTCTTGATGATCTTAGAGACAGATCCTGATGGAGAAAGATAGTAGATGGAATTGTTATCAAAATCAGTGTAATAAACGTCACCAGTATCAGTCACACACATATTACAAGGATTGATGTAATATTTATGCTTTCTCTCACCTTCGTTGTTTACTTTTTCAGTATAGGCTAATCCAAATTGTTTTATGTAACATTCATCGCTACATGAAGCTCTCAACACTGAGATTTTTTTATCTCCATATATGAATGAGCTTGTTTCAGTCAAATTGTAGAATTGTATCATTTAAATCTAGGGTCTTTCCAATTATATTCTCCATTACCTCATCACTGATTTCTCCTTTAATGTATCTCATTGAATGTTTACAATTTTTGATATCGACATCCAGGCCAGACAACAGTTGTCTCAGTTCTCTATGTTTGTCAATCAAGCTGTAATCTGACATAACACTCTTATTGTCCTCCATAAACTTTACCATCTCTTCAATTTTTATTTTCTTTTTGTTTAGCTCAGATTTCACATCATTCAACTTTTCATTTTTTTCCTTAAAATGGTCCCTCAATCTTTGTTCATTTTCCTTCTTGATTTCTGACAGCCTGGTTATTATTTCATTAAGATGCTCCCGGAGATTTTTAGTCTCAGACTGACAAAACTCTATATTTTCTGTAATTTGTTTTGATATTTTCTTTATCTTCTCTTCAATCCCAGGCAGATCCTCTTCCTTGATCTTTCTTAAAAAGTTAAGTAGACCTCTCCTCTTTTGACTGGCTGCTGTGGATATAGTGCTCCACTCGTGATCTCTGTGATCTGTTTTGACACATTTACCACAAATAAATTCATCACACTCCTCACATATAACATCAAAAGGTAATTTGTGGGATTCACACATTTCAATATGATTCTGATCAGAACCTAGTGAATATTTGGGATCACTGACTGCCATATTTGTAAAATGACCTAATTTGGAGATATAAGTTCAACAGCTATGCTCCATATAGTGCATTGGACTTTAAATCTATTATAATATTGGAGCAGCGAATGTAAGCTGTTTTTGCTACAGAAAGCCATAAGTTTACAAACGTTAGAAAATGATAGAGGAGACGAAAACAATTATTGTGAAGCTGTTTTACAGTGGTTTCAAACAGTAGAATATCTAAAGTGTTGGAAAATCAGTTCAGAAACTATCTTTAGGGTTTAGAATTGGTCTCTGACGGCGTTGCTACCGATCAGAAAGACCTGGAGGATAGCTAAATCGTATCTTTCTAAGCCCAACCTGGAACAGAAAATCTAAACTCATATGACATGAATTTACCTAATTGTTGGGAACACTGTATTCACTGTCATAATTAACAAGGCTTTTCTCACAAGGACCGAATGGCTTACTGCTATCACATATGCATGCATAAAGCCTGTTTGTTAAATGGAAAGAAAATCAAAGATATACATTTTATAATAAATGACCGACATAAAATGAAATGTCAAAATCAAATTTGAGGGTTCAATATTGCAACTATAGCAAACAGATTGCCCTGCTAGATTTCCGGAAGTAAAGAAAATTATTTTCAAATATGCAATTCAAATATATTATATGACCCACTTAGGAGAGGAAATAAATTTTGCTGCGAAATATGGTCAAAATACTGCCGACTAGGGGTTAAGCAATAAATAATCGTTCCACCATAAGGCCGAACCCATGGGCATGAATCTTACAAGTTTCATAAAGGGTTGAGTACTCATTATAATCAGGCAAACAGCTTGCTTGTTAAAGGTACAATTAAGGGTAAGATTTTGGAAGGTATAACAAACTAACAGATCCACCTCAATTACTCTGAACATGGAAAAAAAATGCTACTGTTAAATCTGCAGAATGTCTCTGGTTGAAGGGGCTAGGGTGAAGAGGCTGAGAAGTCAAATATCTGAAGATGAAGAAAGTGGAAAAAACAAACCTACTTTATTTCAAACAGATGAGGGAGTCATTGAAGTGTCCAATAATGCCTAATATGTGGGTCTGGACGAACTGTTTCCAGCTGATATATTTACCACTACCTCCATGCCAGAAAAAGACCTTGTTTCAGTCCCTGATGTTGGATCACAAAAACAATTAGTCCCTGAGGTTGAACCACTGTACTGAAATGAACCAGAACATATTGAGGCTGGGACAGAAATAGGAGAAACAAGCCCAGAATCAACTAGAGATCTCGTGAAACACTTTACAGAATTAGTTGAGGTACCGTATTCAATATTGTACAGGAAGAAGAGGTTGCTTGTTCATAGGGATTCACTGACTCTTTTTTTAAATACATGTAGTAATGATGTTCAAATAGAATGGTGTGAACAGGGTGTCGGAGGAACCGGAACTCGCATCACGCTCACTACAGCAGGATCGGGGTCGACAGGAAAGACTCGCTATATACCTCTCTGACTAGATGTTTCTATAGGTCCAGGTCTATATGTGAATCAAAACTTTGGTTGAACTTAAACCATATATATGGAGTTGTGTGTGTACTGAAATGGTCATATAACTTTGGTGAATTCTTCATTTCCGTTTAAGCATTATTTCATGATTAACATTAAAATATGAAGTAATTTAAACAAATTCATTTTATGTATTTACAAATGTCAATGAGGTGCCAATCTTAAATTTACCAAAAAGTGTGTGATTTAAAATTTGAATGTATGGGATCTAAGATTGTTTTGGGTGCCGTTTGTACAGAGTCCAACAGAAGCAGAGCCTCGGTGTGCATGGCTCGACTTAATCAATCTCACTCATGTACCACCATGGATGACTGTGATACATCGTTTGTTTGGTTGGAGACGTGTAAATAAAAACTTCTTCAAATAAGATCGGACTGTAGAATTCTAGAGGAGGGAAAGCATACAGAGTCAGTTTGGTGAGACACTGCTTTTACAGTGTTTTTATATGTTCAGTAACATGTATATTAGTGATAAATGTATTTTATTATATTCTTATTTCTCATAATATTAAGTGAAGCCTAAATTGTGGAGGAATTTTCAAGAAGCTATATGAACATGTGATATAGTTTGGAGTGATTCGAAAGCTAATTCTGATATAAGGAAATCCTGAGTGAGATCCCAGCCACAGACATTTCTTCTCTAAAGGCCTTTAAGAAGTCATGAAAGTGTAGATAGGTCAACTCATTTATTGTCTTTGAAAATGGGAGACCAAAATAAATTAAATCATCTTGTACATTAACATAACATTTATAAGTCGTCAATTGATATAAATCTGAAGTATTCTATTTTTATTATGTAAATGGTCCTGGAGGGATGAAAGCAAGAAAAAGAAAAGAAATCCAAATGTGAGAAAAGTCCGCTCAAAACTGGAAGTTAGTAAAGGTATATTTATTTAATGTTATAACATGACCAAATGTATGATTTAAAACTGTAATATTTATAACACCGCGTGATTTGTAATTAATTTTCAAATACAGGCTTTCCAGATCACAGAATAGTGGATGTCTACCTGAAACCTTCTGTGGATAATTCAGAAATGGCATTCTGACCTCCTCAGAGAGTATCTTTGACCTCACAACCTCACAAACATATTTGACCTTACAATCATGTAAAATAGCTTTGATATTGCTATTGATTTGGGAAATCAATAATAGGTTAATTATGATGCATTTCATGAAAAGTTCCACTGGTATTATTGCCTTATGTTTTGTAGAGATATGCAAATGAAAAGGTTGGTTGGATAACAGTCAAAACTGTCGAAGTCTTGAAGTCTTATTGCCAGTTATTCAGACGCTTAAAGGTTCACAGGTATGTCATAAATAAAAAATGCTACAAGGACATTAAATGTGTGAATATATGAAAGCAAATAAACATACAAAGTTAGTAATTGGAGGTCTAGATTCACAATTACTTTTATTTAGTTTGCACAAAAAGTTTTAATAAAAGTCTTCTGTTTTCATTTGATTTCATACAAGACACGAAAAAATTCTTTATTCTAATCACAGATCTTTATAGATCCCAACAAGAATAAAAAGGATTATAAATGGCGTCCAAGAAGATCCACGACTGTCCAGGTAGTAAAGAACTCCGAGCTTCTGAATCCGAAGGGAATGACAGTGAAATAAAAAAAAAACAAGCAAAGGTTTCCAATGCTCAAAGGGCTAAAAAGTCAAATGGAGCGAGCAAAGCCAAATAAAACCTGTAAGGGACAAAAACTCTAAATCTGTCCGAGAGAGGGGAAAAGGGAAAGGTCCTGCCAAGAAATCTCAGATGACCAAGAGACCTGTGTACAGAGAAGAGGTCGATCTGTCAGAGAGCAGTTCAGATGACCAAGATGATGATATGGACAAGGACAACGATGATTATGATCTGGCAATTCTAGACTACGAAAGTTGGCAAAAATAATGTGAAAGCTGGAGAAAATGATTGGAACATTGGAACAAAAAAAAAGAAAAGAAAATGACAACAGTTTATTAATAAGAGGATAAATGAAATAAGTGAATGCAACGTCATATTATTTGTAAAATTATGACGTGCAGGTTGTATTGTATTTGTTTTTCATTTAGAAAATTTTGCTAATATTTATTTTCTCATGCAATTGAATTTATTTATTGTATAAATTTTTAAATGGTATTAAAAATAACTTAAGAATTGATTACTAAAGGTCGGTTATTTTTATGTAAGGAATCATGAGGAACCCCCGGGTTTGTTTTATTCCTCTGAATCAGAGTATTCTTGAAATATGTGGAGATAACGAACAGTATTCAAACTCAAAAGTCCATTCAAACAATACAAATCAGGAGCAGAGCAATCAAGGACCTATAAACATCAGAGGTGGGATCAGGTGGCGTGGAGGAGTGAGCATCCCCTGCCAAAAGGTCAAACCCGCCGTGTGCTCCTTGTCATGATCGGGAAATAACAGGAACAAGTATGAAAACGTCAGTCAGCATTTGACTTGATGATAGATTGTACTTGCTGACAAGTTCATTGTATCGAACATAGAACTTATAAAATGATGACTTCAAACAAGACTGTTGATATTCTTGTTTCATCAACTTGTTTGTCAATAACTTACCTCGATTTAGAAATTGTTCGTATGTAGAGCATGCTCTTGCGTATCGAATCAATTGAGAGATATAAACCCCATATGCAGGTGATAAGGGTATATTGCTGCATAAGTAAGGGAAGTTGACGATTGAAAAGTTAAAGTCGTCACGTTTATCAAAGTTTTGTTGTTAGATTACCATTACCATCTTTTTCTAGTAAAATATCCCAATATGAAACAGATGTATCAGACAGACTCTGTGGTATCTTTTATTTCAAGCTCACTGGGATATATCGTGTCGACATATGAAAGGAAATAACTATTGTTAATGACCTCTACAATGCTCATTGAAACCAGTCATATTCTCCAGTTCCTCATCACTGACTTTTCCTTTAGTATATTTCATTGTAAACATCTCATTGAATGTTTACAGTTCCTTAAATCGACATCCAGGTCAGATAGTAGTTGTGTCAGTTCTCAGTGGTTGTCAATCAAGCTGTAATCTGACATGACACTCTTATTGTCCTTAACTGTCTTTGTCATTTCTTCTTTTTTGTTTAACTCAGATTTCACATCGTTTAATTTTTCATTTTTTCCTTTAACTTTTTTTTCACTCTTTGTTCATTATGCTTCCTAATTTTTTTTTGACAGTCTGGCTATTACATCATATCTGAAGCTTTTTAAACTCAAAGTCGTACGTTTTTTTTTAAATTTTTTGTGATTTGTTTTGAGTCCTCTCTATCTTTTCATCAACCCGAATCAGATCCTTTTTCTTAATCTTTGTCAGAAAGAAGACCTCTCCTCCTATGGGTAGAGTCGTCCATTTATAATCTCTATGATTTATTTTTGCACATTTACCACAAAAAATTCACCACAGTGCTCACATAGTCACATCAATAGGTAAATCTTAAAATTCATAATTTAGATATGCTCCTGAGGAGAGCCCAGTGGATATTCGGGTTTGAATACTGGTTGCTAATATTGTTGAATTTCACCTACAATTGACTTAGATCAGAGGTTGTATATCATTATCTTGTTTGTGCAAGAATAAGAAGAGGTTCCTTCTGTTTGTAGAGCTACACTGACTCTTTCTTAAACTCATATAATGATGATCAATGATGTCTCTGTTCAAACAGAATGATATAAATAGAGTGTCAGAGGAACTAGAACCCGAGTCACGCTCACTACAGCAGGAGAGGGGTCGACAGGAGAGACTCTCTACCTCCCTCTCTAACCAGAAGTTTCTAGAGACCCGGGTCTGTACATTTATATATATGTATATCATTTATATGTAAACCAAACCTTTGCTGAATTTAAACCATATAGCTGGTACCTAATTGAACAAACATCAGTATGACATATTTTGGTGCTTGATTCTAACCTATTAATGCCTTCGTTACCCCCCCCCCCCCCCCGCCCCCAAATATGAATTCCAATAAGTACATTTTGTACATAAAAGATCGACAAATAATAGAATCAATTTTTGATTATCTTAAAGAATCAGTGGTCTAAATGTGCTAAGATGTGTTCAAGTGAAGTTCATGACATGCTAAGATTCTTCGGGGTGCCATAAGTATGAAGTCCAACAGAAGCAGAGGCTCAGTGCGCATGACTGGACTTGATCAATCTCATTCAGGGAACCACTTCATGTACAACAGACTTTCGAGTACATGTAAGTCAGCAAAGAATAGACAAGTTAACAGGACTTCAAGTAAGTCAGCAAAGGATAGACAAGTTAACAGGCCTTCAAGTAAGTCAGCAAAGAATAGACAAGTTATCAGGCCTTCGAGTAAGTCAGCAAAGAATAGACAAGTTAACAGGCCTTCAAGTAAGTCAACAAAGAATAGTCAAGTTAACAGGCCTTCGTGTAAGTCAGCAAAGAATAGACAAATTATCAGGCCTTTGAGTAAGTCATCAAAGAATAGACAAGTTAACAGGCCTTCGAATAAGTCAGCAAAGAATAGAAAAGTTAACAGGCCTTCATGTAAGTCAGCAAAGAATAGACAAGTTAACAGGCATTCGAGTAAGTCATCAAAGTATAGAAATACTTTTTAATGGTTGGTGATAGAGCTTTCATATTTCATATTTGTATTACTTGTGATAATGCTTTCCTTGGCTCCCGACATTTTTGAACTGATGACTATGACCTTGAAGTTTGAATTACTTTTGAAAATCTTTCACACTAACTTTGTGACCTTTTGGACCTAGATCAAAGTTTTTAAATTAGAACTTGCATTATTTACGAGGAATATTCTTGTGTAAGTTCAAATCACATAAACCCTCCCACTCCCACCACCCACAAATTTCCTTCTAAACATCACCAAAAGCTCTTCACTTGTCATGAATTATTTTTGCTTACAAATTGCTCCAGTCTTCGAAGTAAATCAAGCATCAATGCTCTCATGGGTGTCCAAATTTTTTCTTATTCAGTCTTTTTTAGTAGTCTACATGATTAATTTCCATTAAAAAGACTGAATATAGTAGAATTATGAAGTTATTACCCAATGTAAATTAAGGCTTAGTCCCCCGCTCACTTTCAATATAGAAGCTAGAGATCAAGGGTGTATAATTTCATTTATGTGTATTAAAGAATTTAAATCCACTATGAATTTTACCACAGGATTTAAGGCTTCAGGCATAATCAGTCCAGCATTGGTGTGCAATTATATATGGCAAGGGTTACAGGTAGTTATTATAATTACGGGAGTGATTTGTACAACTGGACGATATCTTTATCCCCCTGTAGACACACTTCAGTCCGGCAAACAGTAAAAGCTCTATTTATAAACGCTTGTATCCTAAATGGGCATTCATAGTTACTTTTATCTTTTATGCTACGGAGGATAAAAACAGAAATATTATAAAACCTTTTCCCGTAGATGAGAGAATTTTGAAATTAGCCACGAATACCTTAAAACACATAAATATTCATCTTCTTATATATTGATGAATGAATCTATCAAGCTTAAACAATTTAGATATGATGCAATGTATTTTTTTAATATTGATTTTAATGTGGGTAATTATTTGATGAATCATTAATCGTCTGTAAATTTAATAAAGACAATACAAAATAAACCTTTAATGTTAATTTGATTACTTCTAGTTCAAAACACACACACACACACACACACACTCTCTCTCTCTGTGCCCCAAATATTGTGTCAAATAGCGTGAAAAACCATCGCCTCACTTAAGCTTACAACACACATCCACTCGACTTCCTAATATTTTGGATTAGACGCCACCGTAAAAGGATTATCTGATTAATAAGAAGTAAAGAGATTAAGCCAGTCTATATATTTTGTGAAATTACCTAAGTTCCCATATCACATTGGATGGGTTCTGCAAATAAGATCAAGAACTATATCTGTAATAACCCATATCGACCCTTTTGAAATTCAACTTTATTTCAATAGAAAAGTCAATTACTGAAAACACGGTATACTCATTAAAGTCAGGCTTAGTAGAATCAGTGGGGGCCAGGGATTCCCCCGCCTCCTTCTTTATTTTCGGGAATAGTCATTTTCTTTTAGCATGAAATTGTTCATTGAAAGGCGGTTGGTTCCAACCTTTTGTTGCAATATAAACCAAACCTCCTACGTTATTTTAACCGTATGTTTCTGTATTAAAAAAAAAATATCTTAAAGAGAGAATTCGAAAATTCTGTTTAAATTTAAATGACTTCAAACGTATGGAAAAAAATTCTTATATGAGAATATTGAGATTGAATAAGAATAACAGAATTTTGATTTTGAAAGAGAAAAGACGATGCTAGAAAAAAAGCATATAATCAGAAGCATTTTATTTTTAATGCAGCGGCTTGGATCTACTTGAAAATTTGACTCTGAATTTTCGTCAATATTAAATAGTTCATTGGACTCGAATTATACGGTAGACTCTGGGTTATGATTCGTCTTACCTCGTAACCATTTATTCCTTTGGCCTTGGATTAGAGAAAGTCCTGCAATCAATACTCCTTTCTTTGTCGGACAAAGTTATGAAAGGAATTGGGGGTCAGGGTAGGTGGGATGGAAGTGTTGAACTGACATTTCCTTGTCTTTCTTTAGAGAAATTAAGCAAGGATTTATATGCATGCAAACAAGTAGAGTACATATGGGGTTCTTTGACGTGCATTTCTCAGTTGCTGTATATGACTTGTATCTGACATCCCACGAGCTCTTATAGAGGAGGACAAGTCGCTAATACTCAGCCCAAGTAGTTCTTTTTCACGTTCTGGATTTGACCTGTATTACATTCTTCTAGTTTTTAACATTTAATAAATTGTACAAAGGTTATTTGCTGACTATGACATAGTGTATCTATATTTCTAAATGTCCATTGCAGTACTTGGAAAATGTTTTTGTTCTGAATGTTTCCAAAGGGAATAAATCCATTCCCTCTAGTTCTCTGTTCTTTGGAAATTTTTGCTGTATTTTGTCCACTATCCTTTCCTCCATCAAATTCATTCATACCATATAGATCTCCATTAAAAGTGTCCCCATTCACGTAGTCCAATGAAATGCGTCTACATAAATTATGTAAAGTTAATGTTATACGAAATACTTTAAGTATAGATTTTAAATATATTCAAGAATTCCCATGTAATTTAAAGATACAAGTTTTATTTATTCTGGCTTTTTGACTTAAGTTGGGATCACAAAGGGTGAATATGAGAGAGAGAGAGAGAGGAATGGGAAAATCTTTTAATATGCTATTCTTTAAATTAAATTGTTCAGATGCTCTTTTTTATTTAACAGTATAATCACAATTTACATTGCCATGCCACTGACACTCGATATTAATGATCGACCATTGATGGTACTGATATCGAATACATGTACATATCGAAAGTGATTTACAAAGACGTATTAAATGTTGTTTTTCTAATACAAGTAACGAGTTACTTACGTCAAGCACATTTTCACGAACAACTGACCTTAAGTCTATTCCATTACAATTCAACCTTTTGAGCAATTGTGCAGGTGAATAATCCTTTAATTAACTTTTGAAAGAGATTTCATAATATTTTCCACAAATCAAGAGCTTTATGATATTTAACAAATAAAAACAAAAATCTACATGCAGATGTGTCTTGTTCAAAAATCTACAGATGTTCTTGCTGCAAATCATTCGTCCAACCATCCCCACCCCCCAAAAAAAAAATACTATTAGAATAAGGCAATTTATGTGCGCTTCAGTATGCGCTTCAGGATGGGTAAAAAAAACAGGAATAAGCAACTACAAAACATTCCCCTCCCCCTTTAAAGAAATTATTATTTTTTTTTTTTAAAAAGCAAAAGCGAAATTTAAAAGCAATGTCTTTTTTCCTGTTCTTCGTAAACTTTTTGATCATTTTAAACGTATCTGTAAGCAATACACATTTGGAGGAGTTGAAAAGATCAGTTCGGACTATATAATTAATGTATATATCAGATTCTGTTACTCTGTTACCATTATATGTTTACCTTTAACCCTTCCTTATCAGTGACCAATTACTACCTTAAAACATCCGCACAAAAGATTATCCAATCTGTTTAGATTTGATCAGCAAAGATTAGAATTAAAGCTGGAAAGTTATTCTCCCTGCAAACTTAAAGGGATCACCTACATTTAAATACATTTTGAAAAAAATAAACTTTTAAATTCTACTGGCTCACACTACGTTATTTACAGATTACAATTCTTGCGGACTTTTAATCCTATTTCCTTTCCATTTATACCTTGATGATTCGTGGCGAGAGTTACCTTAAAAGTTAAAGAATCAAAGCGAGAGACATGAAGGTGTCGGTAGCGGGCACTTCTTAATTATTGTGGTATGTTCCTAGAAAAACATGGAATTAGACCCAACTGGGAAAGAGGTAATTCAGATTTAATTTTTAAGATACTATACTAATTTTTTTTTATCAATCTATTTTTGATAAATCGAGAGATTGAGGAAAGCGTTTTCATAGAATCGAATATAACCCAAAGACGCTACCCGATTTAGATGGAAAATGTTATAATTTTCCCAAAAACGTTTGTATATGTTTCGCAATATTGTCCCCTCCCTTTTTTCAAGGAAATGTTCCCTTTATGTATTTCTACGATTTTTAACCCCCCCCCCCCCGCTTTTCCAAGGTAGTAATATGTCCATGTTTATCAGGACAATCTACTGGAATGTTTGAAAATTCAAAACATTGAATATTACGATTTACTTGTTTTTCTAAAGTATACGTTAATTTGGTCACAAAACTTAAAAGGCAACATCAAAAAATTTTAAAACGCTGGCGGACTATCAACTAACTTAGAAATTTTGTTTTATTTTACTCTTCAGCCAAACTATTGCTAATAAGTGCAACGATCAAAGAACAGAGATACATAAAATAATGTATTAATGACAGATAATATACTTAAATATTTGTTTAAACTTCTCCCAGCTTTAATGAACATATGGTTCGCCAAAAGATTAAAAGTTTACCCTGTTACACGTATGAAAAGAGGGCTTATGACAGATTTGGATTATAGTGTGACGAGGTGCCACGTCTCATTTGCTTTAAATAGTCATCCGAAATAAATATGTTTAATTAAGATTAAGAATCTATTGTAAATAATTAGTCCCTCGTTATATGTAACACTTTTTACCATAGGACATTACAGATAATCTATAGAATTTGTGTTGCATTACTTTAATAATTTCCCTCGGGACAATAATTTAATTTCCTATGCTTCAATAGTTAGTAATAGATTTAGAAGTTTGGCAAAGGAGAGGTTAAAAAACGAAAGCATACGCCAAATTAACAAACTAGAATTAAAACATATTTATTTTGAAACTTCTCTTCTTCAATATATTAACTCCTTATATGTATGTTTTCCGGGACAAACAAAGAACAGTCTGCCATCTGTTCGTTACGATAATATTTTTTCATATTACTTTAAAACATTAGTTTAACTTCTTTTTTATGGCGTACTTACATGTAGTTGAAAAAGAACCTTTTAACCTATGTTATTTTTAAAGCGACACAAATCCGCTGTGCCCATTTTTATTTTTCCTGTTACATGATTAAACTAGATACTTTATTCTTATTACCCAACCTAACCCAACGCACCCCCTTCCCTTCCAAAAAGAAAAGAAAACAATGTGCTGAAGCGCAATAAAACCTAGCTGACCTCTACAGTGTTTCTTTTAAATGTTTGATGGAATATAGATTTAGTTTCGTTTATTTTCCCTGAATCGGAATCAGAAGACTAAACCTTTTTAATATCAGTCAACAATATTTTTGAAATGATTTTTTTTTTCAATAGTTTATTTGGAGATAAAAATTTGCAAAATTTGAAATATAGTATCGTTTAAATTAAACAGAGACAACAATGATCTCTTACTCCTAAACCAAGATAAGTTTTACCAAAATTAAAGAAAATTTTATTTCTGATTGGTCACTTGTATAGGTACCACTTCTATTACAATAAGCAAAGCAGTATCTTCTACTCTGATTCCGCGACAAAGTATTTTTGTCTGAAATATCACTCTTAAGTGTAAAACATGGGAGTTAAATTTCAGTAGAGATGAAGACTTTCTGTTGTGAATCTTATGCAAATCATCTGTAAAGATTTACCGATATCTATATAGACAAAGACGAAACGATACAAGCGATCTGTATGTTATCTATTTTCAGAGACTGGACAGAATTAGCCGTTTGGTTTTCGATAGGCGTAACCTCCAAACACTCCGAGAAGGAATATGTAGCCTGTTTGATATCTATCACGACATTCTAGAAAAAGAGTTTGAGTATGGATGTTACTTTAATAATGACGAAATCATAGCCAGGCTTGATGAAGTTGTAAGTATCAAACTAACCAGTACTATTCATTATTTATCAAAATATTAGGAGTACGATGTTATATAAGTATTTTTAATGGAATTAAGTTAAAGGTACAGAGTACCTGTGAGTATAAAAGTATGTTGCCTGTAACCAGGCAAATAGTAGGCAATTCATATTTTAGAATATGATTGGTGATTTCTGTAGATGTGCAATAACATTTTCGAATTTTTCTTTTCATCCGAGAGGCCAATAGGGGGACCAAAAAATCAAGATTTTTTTAAAACAAAAATCTGGTTCAAAGAATTCTTCTTACATTTTACTCAGTGGTCAATACATATTTTGGAATATTGGTGGCTTCCTGTAGATGTGGAATTTTCATTTTCAACTGATATGTCAATTTGGGTTCCATTATGTTTTGTTCAAAATTCAAGTTCCAAAAATCCTCTATCAAATTGAATATGACCCATCAGCCTCTGATATTAGTATTTCGTATAATAAATTCAACAGTCTGAAATGAACAAAATCAGGAAAGCCTAAATTCTTATTTAAAGGGAATTTTGATTGTGTTTAATATAACGTCTGAAATGTTTGGACCACTTATTCGTTCCAGGATGAAAATGAAAATTCTGAAACCTTACTGATTATCTATAGGACACTACCAGACATACTTCTAAAATATGATTTACCGATAGCTACCGCTTAAACTGTATGAGGAGTTCTAAGATCATGGTTTTCTCAGGAGAAAAAAAAATTCCAAAACTTTATTGAACATCTAAAAGACACCACAAGTTATATTCCAAATAGTGTATTGGCTACAGCGTACAACTAAGAGGAGTTTTGGGAACCAGGTTTTTGTAGAAAAACGCCGTTTTTGTCCCCTAAGAAAAAATTAAGCACCGAAAAGTTATTGTTAAATACAAGACACCTTCAATCCTGTTCTTAAAAGAAATGATATGGCCACTGCTTAAAATGTTAAAGGAGTTTGAGGAAGAAGACAGTATGTCAGTCAGACAAACCGGGAAAACAACAATATTCTGGATCTTTTTTATGAAAACGCGGGTATAATCATATAAACGGTTATATTTACACGTATAAAATGTTAAAACAATCACGCATTGTAATGTACACATTATAAAAATGGTCAATACATTAACTTAATCATCGATTACATTTACGGGTGATCTTAAGTTTTTATATCACTCCATCCTTGGGTAACTACTGAAGAAACCACAGTAATTATTCTACAACTTACAGATACATGCAATTATATACATTTCATATGATAATTCCATGGCTAAATTGATATAAAGATTTCATTGAAGCACATATTTTTTTAAAAAGGTTTTTGTGATATACAAAGGGTTTTGTAATTTTTGGGTTCCGATTGGCCCCTAGATAAAATTGAAAATTCCAAAAATTATTGATTATCTAGAGGACACTTCCAATATATTCTAAAAGATTATTGAGCTACTGTGTCAAATGTAAGAGGGTTTTTAAGAACATGATTTTTTGCTTTAAAAATACCGTTTTGTGACCCGAAAGTCTCCCCTACGAAAACCAATTTTTTAAATGCTACAGGACACCACCAATCATATTCTAAATGTTGACTTGGCCGCTGTGTAAAACATAAGAGAAGTTCTGGAAATCTAGGTTGTGTAGAAAAAAAAACGTCATTTTCAACTCCCAATTGCCCCTTAGGGTGAAAATAAAATTCCGAAATGTAAAAGGTAAAGATAACGAACAGTGATCGATCTAAAAAAAAAAAATCCATAAACAATACAAATATGTGAAGAGGGCATAAAGCATGATGACCTGATGATATGGAAGTTCCAGAGGTGAGATCAGGTGCCTAGGATGAGTAAACATCCCCTGTTGACCGGACACACCCGCCGTGTGCCCTATGTATAGATCAGGTAGACGGAACTATCCGTAGTCAATTCAGTACAAAAAACTTATACACATGTACAGGACACTGCCTTGCACATTTCAAAGGATGATTTGGCTAGTGTATAAAATAAAAGGATTTTTTGGAATCGTCTTTTTTCGACCCCCTCCCCCCCCCCCTCCATTGGCTCCCAGGAAGAAAATAAAAATTCCGAAACCTATTTGCTTATCTATCGGACACCATAAGACATATTCTATTCAAAATCATGATTTGGCTACTCTGTGAAATGTAAAAGGATTTCTGGGAACCTTTTTTGTAAAGAAATAGGTTTTTTTTTGACTCAAAGATTGCTCCTTCGGTGAAAAAATGAGCCAAACCAAATCCCTATTGTACATATATTCCAGACTCTGACAAAAGCTGTTTCATGTTTGGACATTTTACTATAGAAAGCTAAATTAAAACAAAACTTTATGATAAACGTGATTACTTCAACTTTTTTATCGCTTTCCTTAATTTATGTAGCAATATACCATTATCGCCTGCATATGGAGTTTATGTCTCCCAGTCTAAAACGAGGCAAATTGATGATACAACGATATCAAATCTAGTTTAATGTCGACATTTCGCAAATTTTATGGTCGATACAATGTCTATCGTTAATTCGAATGTCGACCTTGTAGAAATTGTAAAGCCATTACTTCACACTGAATTGTTTACGGATCTTTTCGTTTGCATGCCCGATCATGACAAGGAGCAAACGTCGGGGATGACCGGTCGACAGGGGATGCTTATTCCTCCATGGCTCCTGATCCCACGTCTGGTGTTTATTAAGATCCTTGTGTGCCAAATTTTTATTGTTTAAATGGACTTTTAAGCTTGATTACTGTCGATACCTTCATATTTCGTACAGAACACCTCCAATAATATTTCTTTTAGGGATTAATTAGGTACCTCTGAGATTGTAAAATGAAGTTTAGGAAGAGAGTATAACAGACGAACTGAGCAAGATACACTGTAACAACAATATTCTGTAGAAAGTACGGGTATAATGATCAATTACACTTGCCGTGCATCATAAGTCATAACAATATGTATACATAATAATGCAATGCAACATCATTAAGTATAGTAAAAAAAAAATATTGTTTACAATTGCAAGTAACATTTATAACATTCTAATGATCTTAAGTTATTACAGTAAGGAAATGTAACGTTTCAATTATCTTAAGGACCCTCTATACACTGATGAAAAATGTTTTTTTGGACTTTGAGAAATTAATATCACATAAAGGAGAATATTTTGAAATTAACTAACCCATTTTTAATATAGGGAGCGTGCCTTTTTTATTCAGTACAAATCTTCAAAGACAATGAAGTAATAGAAAAGAAAAATTGCCTTCGCTTACTCAAATGGATAAAATACATGCAAATAAAGTTTTCAAATACTCTATCTTGGTCTCATATAATGTTTAAAATACTTGGATTTATTTTAAATTATGTGATACAGTTCAGATTACAATTTATTCTACTTATATGTCAAATGGTGGGTCAGTCTAATTACACAAAAGTACCATGAAAATAGGCTGCAGTGTAGAGAGGGTTCTTAAAAATACAACACTATTTTGACAGAAACAGAACAGTTGGGACGACATCCGGGAACACTTTATAGAAGACGACTACCATTCCTATAGCAAGGGAAACTTTACGGATGATGAAGTCCGGGACCCCGCCAAACTTGTCCTTGATCTCATTAACCAGGTCATCAAGTGCAAAGAGGGCGTCTATCAAAAACTGGAGGTATGCTTTCTCGTATGGAGGGTAATCGTGTTCAAAAATCCAGACTTGTAAGTTTGTAAATCCAAACTTGCAATCGTATCAGTTTCATAGGTTACATATGTAAGTAGTTAATATTCCGACATCCAAGCATGTAGTTTTGAAAATACAACTGTGTTGACTTTGAGTTTATACTATGATTGTGTGTATTTTTGATGTTGTAAACTTTGTTTTCCGGAATCTGTTTTCCGCGCTCTGAATGAAACACAAAGACAATTCTACAAATGTAAAGTTTGCACGTTTGTCGAATTTTGATATGAGGAACTATGGAGGGGCATCAGTGCCACATTTTTTTTTTAAAATGTTCTTATTTTCTTTTCTTTTTTATTCTAACTTCTTGTTTTCCAAATTCAATAAATTCTTTATTTTTTTAATTTCTTATTCTAATTCTAACTTCTCATTTATATTTTCCAGTTTTATTTTATTTTCTTTTATTTTGACAATTTTGCATCATTTCGTATTTTGTTTGTATTTTAAATTTTAAATTATGTTGCACTATACCTAATTTAACCCCCCCCTTTTTTTTTTTTTTTTTTTGGTTAGAACTATAAGCTGAAACGAAAGTTTGAATTAGAAAGAAGGACTAAGCTTAAGAGAGTAGAATTAAGGAATCCGATTGAAATTAAAACGAAAAGGGGCGCTACTGCCTATTATGTATACGTGTACATGTGTACATAGAGATCACGCGGAACAGTCTACGGAACGTAGAAATATTTCCCTGGAACATGAAAATAATTTGTTTTTTATTTTTAAAAAAAACCCATATGATATCATTCTTGCGTGTTTCTCTCGTTTTCAGGTCCGTAGGAAGTAATTTCATTTGGAGGCACCAAACAAAAATTTCTTCATTTCTTTCTCTACTGTGAAGGGGCACAACGATAAATTAGCCTTGATTTCTTTTCTCATGTATTTACCGGCAAAATTATTGAGGGGACACAATCGGAAACGGCTTATTTTCTACTGTACTGTATATTCTGGTACCCTCATTAAACTATCTGCCTACGGACCTGGCTCCGGGGCCATGAAACTTAGATGAGCTCACTTTTGATCTCAGTTTCACCTTTTCTACTATTAATTCCTTTGGTAAAGTGAGACTGAAATCAAAAGTGAGCTCGTCTAAGTTTTATGGCCCCGGACCCTGATGTTTAAAATATGATAAATATGACCGCCATTTTGATTATCCGCTTACGGTACACATATCAGAATTGGTATTGTCATCAAATTATTTTTTTTCGAAGTAGGACTGAAAAAAAAATCTTCACATCAACAAATCTCAGGGCCGAAGTACGAGAGGGGGGCGGAAGGTTGGGTTCCCAACTCTTTTGTATGGAAAATCTTTTGCAGTTGTTTTAATATGAAAAAATTATTTATAGACTGTATGCCACCTCCCCCCCCCCTTATTTTGCAGTATCATCAAAGTTTGGCAAATTCTTGTGTTGAATAAAAGCTACCGAAAAGTTCACAAAAGATCCTAAACATCGTTTCACTCTGTCACGAAGAAGGAGGAGTTTTGGCAGTTTATTTATTTATTTTTTGCTCGTCAAATTATTTTAGACCCCCCCGGGTGGTTGTTTTTTTTAATATGATGGTATTGCAGTTACATAAGATCTTAATAAACTAGGGCACTAGTCACAGTAGCCTAGTGGTTATGGTGGTTGGGCGCTATAGCTTCGTAAGCCATGGGGAGGACAGAGTTCAATTGTCCGAAGTTCCTTGTGCCGTGTCAAAGGTAACAGCTGCGTAAGGAGACCTTAAAAACCGAAGCCCCTCTAGATCCGCGCAAGCCGTGTATAAGCGGGTAATGATTCATATCACATCATCAAATAAAATAAAATTAAGAAAATGAAATTGGAAAACATAAACAAGAAGTTTAAATTAAAATAAGAAATTTAAAATATTAATATAAAATTGGAAGTTAGAATTAAAAAAACAAGAAATGAATACTAAATAATTTATTTCTTTTGGAAAAAGAAGAAGTTAAAATAAAAATAGAAAATAAAAACATTTAAAAAGAATTTAGGCACTGATGCCCCTCCATAGTTTCTCATATCAAAATTCGACAAACGTGCAAACTTTACATTTGTAGACTTGTGAATTGTCTTTGTGTTTCATTCAGAGCGCGGAAATACAGATTCCGGAAAACAAAGTTTACAACATCAAAAATACACACAATCATAGTATAAACTCAGAGTCAACACAGTTGTATTTTCAAAACTACATGCTTGGATGTCGGAATATAACCTACTTACATATGTAACCTATGAAACTGATACGATTGCCAAGTTGGGATTTACAAACTTACAAGTCTGGATTTTTGAACACGATTACCCTCCATATTTTCGTGATATTTTAAACACACCCTAACCTGACAGCCGTGCGTTTAATGTTCAGTTTAGAATCGTGTCGTGAGAAAATTGTTGCAGACTTTTTTTTTTATTTAATTTTTCAGTGATTTTTAAAATGGTTATTTATTTGACAGGACCATTGAATTAAAACTGCTTACAATTACATAAACACTTTAACTGATTTTCATTGTAAAATTCGTAATTGTGTGTCTAGTTTTCATGTTTAAACTTAATTAAGATATCAGATTGTATTGCTTTTAAAAAAGTTTTTTTTCATTGTTGGTAAATATCTTAGTCATACGGATGGGTCATACATGTATTTAAAAACCAACCTGTTATTAAACCTATTCGTAAGTAAACAGAAACACCCTTATCAGTTTCATTGAAATAATGCGATTGTGCTAATCCTGTCAACTTCGTTAATGTTTTCTCAGTTTTTCCATTATGTCTACGGAAAATATTTCATGACCTTTAATTTAACAATGTGACGTACCAGTAAGTATGTCATATTCAAAGAAACACTCATACTTTTATCTATTCAGTTAAGAAATGTAAGTTTTTTTTCTCTCTTTTTTGTTTGGTTGTTTTTGTTGTTGTTTTTGTTTTGCTAAATTGTTTGTTTGTTTGTTTGTTTTTTTTTTGTTTTTTGTTTTTTTTTTTTGTTTTGTTTTGTTTGCTTTTTTTTTTGATGGGGGTTGTTTTGTTTTTATTTGTTTGTTTGTTTGTTTTTTGCTTGGCTTTGTTTTGTTTTGTTTTTGTTTTGTTTTGTTTTTTGGTCATTTGACCTGAGCGATATTTCATACCCATTTTCTGCGCTCTTTAGAGAACAAATTCCAATTCAACAAATCCTGCATTTTCTGAAATTATGAATTTAAATAAAACTTTAATTTTAGCAAAAGCACACGGAGATTGAGGAGGCGGAAAGGCGGGTAGACGAATATCGAGGTGAGACAACTCCCTGTGAACCTATGAAAATGTATTAGAATGTGCTAGAATCAATTTAGAATGAAAATTCTTCCGAAAAATTCATATTCCTCTCTTCGTTGTCAGTAGTAAATATTTAATCTTGCAAAAATTAAAACTCGATTCTAGTTACGTCTATAAATTGTTTATTTTATAAAACGTAAAATATAAAATAACACTGAAATATATTTTGACTTTAAATTCTCTTTACAACTTATTTCCAATAGTTGGTTACCTAAGGTACAGAAAGGGAGGTGGGAGCTTCAAGTTTCCCCTTACCAAAGCAACAAATTAGAATTAGAAATAAATATTACTAATTATAGTATTATCTGTCAATTTGATGGATAGAGAAAGCCCAACATGCGTATGAGACGTTAATGAATGAGAGAAAAGAAACCACAGACAGACTCCTAGAAGCAGCGAAAACCAAAACCAAGTTAAAATGCATGGAACAGTTGTACGAGGAAAAGTCACAAAAGCTACAAGAGTGATTACCTCCTTAATTATTAAATCGATCTTAATCGTACATAATTACTAAATATTTTGATTTATGGACATTCACAGTATGGAATTAAGCTGACAATTAACTTATTATTATTATTTGTATTCTACCTTTTGCCCAGGAGAATTAATGGGGCATTATTTCGTAATAGAAAACACGACATAATGAAACTTACAAGGTATTATGATGGTCAGCCACTTATTTAGCTATTTTTGAGCTGTTTACGGAATATTATGTTTCGTTTTACAGATTACAGAGGACAAGCACGGTGTGTATGTGGGAGAGAGAACGAGAGAAAGTGGTCAAAGACTATCAGCAAAAGTAAGTTCTATAATTTGTATTCATTTTTAAAAATTGTATTGGATTTTTCTCGGATTTAGAAAATCTTAGAAAATTTGAACTATCTTGCCCTTTCGTGTTTTTTAGACAAACATTATTCTGATTTTTTTTTAAGTGATTCCATAAAAATTTGGTTATTTATTAGGAGTGTTGTATCTACACCAAAATATTTTTAGGGGCCTGCAGACATGTTCAGGAAACTTTTCTAAGATATGTCGTAAGATTATTCCTAAGATATGACTTAGGAAGAAAGTTAAGAACATCCTAAGGATATATCATAAGATGTAGTTTGACACTAACTTACTAGGAAAACTTAAGACATCCTAACATACAATGAACACTTGTTTCTTCACATTTATCCATACATGTAAAGTTTTGGAGACATTTGTAGCCATGAAACATAACATGAAAAAAAATCATTTATATGTACATGTACCTTCAGTATATTTTAATGTTTGCATTTTTAAATTATAAAATATTTAATACCGCATGTAAATTGCATCGAAACAAGAGAATTTTTTTCGAACAAAGTAAAAGATTTAAATTCTAAAAAAAAAAATCTTAAATTTAGTGATCTATCTTGAAGATGATTATAATATGATGTATTATAAAAGTCAATCATTTTTGGAAAAAAATAAGCTTACGATAAATGAAATGATATACAAATATGTTAACATGCAAAAATAAATAATAATATATACGGAAAGGCAGCAGGGGCGTAGCTAGGGGGTGTTTAATGTGGAAGAAAATCAAGGCAGGGGGTTTGGGGCCGCCTTAAGGCCCCCAATGGGTCCAGGGCCAATCCCTGGTGGAGGCCCGGTGGGCGAAGCCCCCTGAAGCTGTTGAGTTTACAGTAATTCTGACACTTAATTTTGAGTATATATCCAGAAAAGAGAGTTACATTGAAATAATCCGAGTTTCAACGTTTAAATTGCTTATTTCCTCATCATGAAAAAGAAAAAGTATTGCCTGATTTATGATGGGATTTAATTTTTGTTTCATTACTATTATTATTATCATTTTGTGAGAAAGATGTGGAAGCACTTGCGTACGCCTAGCTACGCGCCTGGCGGTTGCAAATTAAGGAACAATATTTTAAGGCGAGAAAAGATGCACTATAATTTTCAAATTGCATATTATGATTGATAGCTTTTATTCGGTTGATCTATAAACTATCTAAATGTCTGAAAACTAACTCTGATTTTAGGATAGAAGACCTTGAAACCGAAATTTCCTTTCTTAAGCAGAACACGAGGAGTATTTCTCGAAGAATGTCGGTATGTTCATGTGTATTTTTGAATAATTAAAAAAATCTCATTCCATTCAAGCACCACAACTACAACTACATGTACTGCTTGAATATGTAATAAAATTCATGTTCTTCAGTTGAGTCAAATTCTTGTTTCAGAATATTGACGACCAAAATAAAATGTTTAAAATGAGGCAAGAGAGAAGCAAGTCCTTCCAAGGTAAAGCGTATCTAGGTTCTATGAAAAGTAATTGGTCAATAAATTCATAAATTCGCTGTCGTAACACTTTTAGGGTAGTAAGTCACTTTAACTTGCATGTAATTTTCCCCGACTTTACTGCGTTATTGCAGCCCGGAGGACCGGGCTGCTCTATACATATAAGTTTAAGTGTTGGTATATGGGGATTGAGGTGGGAGAAGTTATTCAGAATTAAAGGTTTTCTAAACATTAAAAAGATTGTTAATCAGAATGTTCTTTCCCTTTATAAATTACGAGATACACAATATATTTACTTCCATAAAGTGAATCTGTAAAAATATATATGTTTTTCATATTTATTATATAAAGTTGCTTATCATTTACTATCGAAAAAACGACAGGTCCCTTTTTTTAGAACATCGAATTTTACTTATCGCATAAAAACGTAAAAAAGTACTTTACACAGTTCGTGTTTTATATTCTTTAAGTGAACGACATTTTTGAAAATAGGTGATGCATGTGTCTGGTTTCAAATTATATTTTATGCAGCCAACAATTACTTGAGGAATTGATAAAGTTTAAAAGGGTATCGTTTTTGTTCGATTTTCATCCGACTATAAGTTTTCAAAATATTCTCGACTATCGTCTCCATCATTTAGACGCATGCCTTTTTCACACATATCGAAGCGGTGTGATGATCAAGACTCATTTCTTTATTTCCCGGGCGACAATTGATGGTTACATCAATGTTTTCTTGTATTTCACTTAATAGTGTTATAATTAGACATTATCTAATTAACGCCTTAAGCACAAGTCTTGTGTCTGCTACTCTAATACAGTTTTAAATTTTTAAAGATTCACTGTTCACTCAAACTTAATCGATACATTACTAGTATGTAACGCGAACTTTGCAGTTCAAAAAGTTATTAGAAATATTTAAGGAATGAATTTAATAGCTATCCAATTTATACGGTATAAAGTGGGTTGGGGCAGTTTACGCTTTATAAACCGCGAAGCGGTTTATAAAAAAAAAAAGCGTTAAGTGTATACCGTATAAATTGGGTAGCTATTAATTTCATTCCTTATAATTTAATTTTCATTCATTTAGTGTAAGAAAAAAGATGATTGGCCTTAAAAAATGACTGTACAAAATTTAAATGTAACGTCATCGATACGTTTTTGACGCAAGTCATTGTGACGTAGGCAACCCAATTTATACGATATAAAATAAATTTGTTATCCAATCAAATGGCGCGTTACAATCAGAATTAAATTATTGTGTAATACATGTAATACATGCATGTCAATCAATTTTGCTGCAATTTAAGAGTGTAAAATAAAAAAATAAGTTTCAACTCCTCTGCCCAAGTGCTTCTTGAAAAAAAAGAATTTTTTCCTATACACTTCTGTATTTCTATGTAAAACTTTGACCACCTAGTGTGGTCCAGCCTGACCTCTGTAAGAGGGTCATGATTTGAACAAACTTGTATAGATCTACAGCTGTAATAAACGAGATTAAAACTGAATTCAAATCTACGCTGTGTTTTAAGTCACTTAATGGAATACTGTAACCCTAGAGTGTAAAAAAAAAATGAATTCAAATCTACACTGTGTAAAAAGTCTCTCAGACGTTACAATGTAATAAGTAACGATAACCTAGGAGTGGATAAAATGAACTCAATCTCTACTGTGTAATATGTCACTTAGACGTTACCTTTTTTTAGGGCATTAAATCATTAACACAAGCCAGGCTGTTATATGTCGATCAGATCTAACTTTGTAGTATGTCGCAAAATCCCACAGTGCACAAAGTCAATGAAATTTTAAAGCATTTAATAAATTATATAAAAATCAAATAATTATGTACTGTATTGTCTACTAAGTTGACAGTAATGTATCACTAAAAGTTATACGAAATGTTGCAATAAGTCGATTAAGGAGGCAACGAGAGAGAGAGGGGGGGAGTAACTGGTGACTTTAAATACTTCCGTTTCACTTCCAGATGAGACTGTACCGGATGTTGATTCTTTGAAACGTGACATTTACGTCAGAGAAAAGGTAAGGTGTCTACAAACTTTCTCAAACATCTTATTGTTTATAACAAATAATTCTTCTGAGTATCTCATAAAATTTCAGGAAGTGAATTAAAGATGTATGAAATCGTTTTTATCAAACTTATTGTTTATGACAAATAATTCTTATGAGCATCTAATGAAATTTTCAGGAAGTAAAAAATAGGATATGAAATATGAAAACTTTCTCACAATTTATATGACATATTCTTCTTGAACATTATCAAGAAAAGATAGGATATGAAATACACTTTTTCATTTTTTTAATGACGCCAAAAATGTTGTTTATAAGAATTTAATTTAACAAGCTTTAAAAATCATAAGTGCAAGCTATGCTTTAGTAGATATCAAAACAGTCTTGCTATAATGAGTTACGTCAGATAATATTACTTTACGTTATATTAACATGAGAGCAAAATGTATTGCAATTTAATGATTGTTCCATGTAATAAAGCATGATACGTGTAATAAAGTCTAAACATAAAATAAAGTCTGTTGTAAAACCTTTAACATATGATAAAGACTGTTACATGCTATATAGACTGAACATCACATGTTATAAAGAATGCTGCATGTATTTTATATAGGATATAAGTCACTTAGAGGGAGAACTTTATGATCAACAAAAGTTGTTCATGGGAATGGTAGCAGGACTTAAAACCGATATCAGGTAAAATCCCAAGTAAACAATTGAATCATATATTAATTGATTAATTAATTAATTAACTGATCAAACATATGGTTGATTTATTCATTTTTAATCAGAAACTTTAAATTTTAGCAATTGATGGTCAAACATAGACTGTATTAAAAACAGTTTTACGTATTTTATTATTTCAACAAAAGTATGTCCAATATGGAGTCGACTGAATTCCAATTTCTTAGTGACCCCTGACCATTTCTCAGTGACCCCTGACCTTATCTCATTGACCCCTGACCTTACATATATCACTGCTGTCTTTCCATAATGTGTTCATGAGAGAACATTTCACTTGTTTAAAAATCAATAAATAAATAAATCTTTTGACAGGAGAAAATACATTGCATAATCTCACTAGAGCATTCATTTTTATATACAAATGAAGTTGCTAAGATAATATGTAACCTTTTGAGTTTATTGCATCCAGTTTTAATCATAATTGATAATAAAACATAAGAAGAGACCCATGGGCCAAAATGATTACCTGAGTCACTTTGGCCTTGCTGTTCATCATCAGCATATTTTTTAATTTCCCTCCAATTTTGACTCCATATTGTGGACCAAAATCTAGCCCTAAGAGATCTATGAATGGATCAAAGTTGAATCCATATAACATCGGGATGCTTCATTATCAATAATGGTCCTGCTGTTCTGGAGAAAGTTGTTTTCTTGCATACATGCCTTATGTAAAAAAAAAAAATGGATCTCCAATTTCGGCTCAAGGCTTACCTTCATGACTCAATAATTAAAAAAAATGATCAACACAACCTTCGTATGTTTTGCTTTTTAATATGATTTAGTGTGGTCTTGACACTCTCAAAAACTTTTTTTATTCTCTTTTCACAAAAATCTTACAACTAAGATTAAAATTTCATAAGTCTGCAATTTCTTTTTTTTTTTTACAAAAGAATTTCTTTTCTGAAGGATTTTTCACAATATCTTTCAATGTAATAGAAATATTAGATTTTAAGTGACCTACTATAGCTTAGATAATTTAAAGAGAATTAAAAAAAATTTTTAGTCGTAGGATATTTTGCGAAAATGTTCACAAATCCCCTATCGTAGCTTCAACCTATTCCATAGGGCTTTGATCTAAACTACCTGAGGATGCTTCAATGTAAATATGACTAATAATGGCTCTGCTGTTCTTAAGAAGAAGCTTTTCAAAGATTTTTTCCCTATGTATTCCTATGTAAAAGTTTTCTCCCATTGTGGCCCACCCTATCCATGTAGTTCATGATTTCAACAATCATGAATCTACACTATAACTGGGTGCTTCCATATGAATTTGATTAATCATGGCTTTCTTTGCTGCTCTTAAGAAGAAGATTCTTAAAGATTTTTTTCATATATTCCTTATATGCATCCTACCCTGGGGTGATGATTTGAACAAACTTGAATGTACATTATGTAATAAAGCTTTTACGTAAGTTTTATCTTTTCTGGCATAGTGGTTCTTGAGACGATTTTTAGAATATGTTGTTAGATTTTCAATACTTGTTAATTATCTTCCATTGGGCCTGGCTCTACTTGAATTCCTTTCACCCAAGTATGCTCTATACCAACATTGGTTGAAATTAACCCAGTGGTTCTGGTGAAGAAAATGAAAGTGTGAAAAGTTAACGATGACAACGACAGACGACGTACTTTGATCAAATAGCTCACAAGATCCTTAAATATATTAAAGAAATACCATTATTAACAAAAATGACATTTGATATTTACAAATTAATTTTGATTTGTAAAAGAAACAGATATTATAGAAAGGTGAAAATGGAAAAACACTAAAATGGAATAATAATTACATAATTCTACCGACAGTAAATTGAGCGAGCACTTTTATGACGAGGAGACGTGTGAAAGAGATCCGGAGTTTGTCAAGCTCCTCAAAAACGTCACCAAAATCTATGACGCCTTGGCAGAGGGGACCTTGCAACAATCCAAACTTCTTATGCCTCCACATTACACATTTCATGATAAAGTAAGTCTTTGAAAGAGCTTGGTATGTATTTGACAGATTCACATTTCTTTACAGAAGAATTACTGACAATTTAATTATTTATTAACAGTTATTTGTTTCTAGTGTTTGAAACCACATCTGACGACAAAACAAAACCTGAAGTAAAAAAAAAACTAGTGTTAATTGTCTTGTTATTCAAAACACAACAACGTAGATTTTGCTAATTCTTTTTTTTTTTCAAGAAAAGACACAGAAATTTATCAACAAAAAAGAGAAAATAGATAAATAAAACACAAAAAAAACTTATATAAGCAGATTAACAAACTATAGCCATTATGTAGCGCTTTATTAAAGAACAAAAGGATATTCAATTCAACAGGATTAAATTACAAGTAATTCTTTTCATTCCTAATATTCCAGAGTATGATTTTTTTTAATTAATTAGGAAGTTAAGATAAAGAGAGTACGAAGATTATCGAAAGCCAATGCCTTGCCGAGTCTAAGGTTAGTACGCAGCTGAGTTTTGATACAGCTCCTGCCCTTCTTGCACTTTTATAAAATATTGAGGCATATTTTTACGCATTTGTTGAAAATATATCTAATGTGTCTTCTTGATTATTGACCACTTACGACAAATAATGGAAGGAATATCGAGATTTCACGTATTCCTCTTTTTTATATGTAAACCTATTCGGTAAACATATTTTTTGACAGCTAATTTGACACAAGGACAATCTAATTAAAATTAGATGTTCCGAACCCGCTACCGCTTCTCAAGCGGCAGCGGACTTGGGAAAATATAATTTAAATCAGATGCCAAAAAGAGATTTTTATGATTTTTTGTGCATCATGATTTGAGCCTCGACCATTTATTTCTGTAGTAAATTTTCATTCAGTTTGTTTAGTATGCAATTTGCATCTTCTTTAATTTAAAATTATCTGTTCTAAGGCAAAATATGTATTTTAGATTTCACAAAAATAGTTACAGTAGGTGCACTATCAGCTTCTACTACTAACCTTATGCTTATCTTTGAAAATGGTTAATGTTTATTCATATATACATGTGATCATTCATCCTTTAACTGATTTCGTAGTTTGTCTGGATTTTCAAATGATCCACTCCCAGGCATCAGGACAAATGGAAACGGGTCAACCGGGGAGGAAAATTCTTCTTCAAATCCTAGCAAACTCCAAACATTAGGTAGGCATTGATTCCTCAAATTCTAGCAAACTCCAAACATTAGGTAGGCATTGATTTCTCCAATCCTAGCAAACTCCAAACATTATGTAGGCATTGATTCCTAAAATCCTAGCAAACTCAAAACATTAGTTAGACATCGATTCCTCAAATTCCAGCAAACTCCAACATTAGGTAGGCATTTATTCTTCAAATTCTAGCAAACTCCAAACATTAGGTAGGCATTGATTCCTCAAATTTTAGCAAACTCCAAACATTATGTAGGTATTGATTCCTCAAATTCTAGCAAACTCCAAACATTAGGTAGGCATTGATTCTCCAATCTTAGCAAACTCCAAACATTAGGTAGGAATTGATTCCTCAAATCCTAGCAAACTCCAAACATTAGGTAGGCATTGATTCCTCAAATTCCAGCAAACTTCAAACGTTCGGTAAGCATTTATATTTGAATAATCCATGATTTTATGACATAAATATTTTCTGATCAATTCATTTTTAAAAACTCGTATGGATGTTTCGTTAACAAAAATTTGGTTACAGACTTCATCTTATTTACATTATAATTAGTACTCAGAATTATTTTACAATGATTTTCAATATTTGTCGTAATGGGAGACATTTTCTTTTTGTCAGAGGAAAATCCGGTCATTGTAGACCCAAAGACGAATAAAATGAATGGAATAGTTTATCTACGACATTTTGCTCACATGTCTCAGAAGTTTGTAAGTATAACTATAAAATTTAACAACCTTTCCGACAGTTTGTGAGTAAGACTAGAAAATTTAACAACCTTTCCGACAGTGTGTGAGTAAATTTACAAAATTTAACAACCTTTCCGACAGTTTGTGAGTAAAACTATAAAAATTTACAACCTTTCCGACAGTTTGTGGGTAAAACTAAAATTTATCAACCTTTCCGACAGTTTGTGAGTAAAACTATAAAATTTAACAACCTTTCCGACAGTTTAATATATTCAAAAGAAAATAGAATGTATAATAATTGTTATTATATTTATGATTTATGCCTTTAAAGAAATTTAATTTTCTTCAATTTAAAACTCATAAAGGACATCCTACTCTTTGATTGACTGTTTTCGTTACTATGACATCGTATTGAAAAACACCACGTTATGTTTCCTGCGTTGAATAAACGTGCAGATTGTTTTCAATACACCCACTCTTAAAAAAAACAACGAAAATATTAACTGTAAACAGCAATTTTAACAATTCCATCATGAAAAACATTTCTTATTTCATTGCAAATCTTTTGAAAACAGAAGAGAAAATTTCTCTTTGTAGATGTAGCTGGCAATTTAAACACTCTAATGAAAAATAATCAAAGACAAACAGCGAAATTTTTATTCTTATTCTCTAAGCAAGACGAAACTATTTGTACAAGTCTAAATAATTTCATGCGGCCTATCTTTTGAAAAATCTAAGAATGTTATTTGAGTTATATAAAAGTGACATAAATAGGTCATAAATCAGACTCTATTTTGTATTTATACAAATGTCAATATAATGAAATATTTACATACTTACCTACTTATATTCCATCTGCAGTATATTATTTAAAAAGTATTGAACAACTGTAAAAACTACAACTGTAAAGCGTGATAATGCTTCTATCTTTTTTGAGAGGGGGTTAGTTTGTTTATCTTTTGCGTTTTGATTTTCCCAATTTATTCTTTAGAGGGGAATTCTGATATGCCTTGTTTGTTTGAAGTTTTGTATTATATTGAGGGAGTATACGGGTTTTTAGGTTTTTGATTCTTTTGCCTAACGCAAAGCCATGGTACCACTGTTGGTTTGCTCAAATATATCGACAATCTGCATTTTTAGATATTGGAACATTGGGCAAAGTTTAGGGAGTATGATAAAAATGGTGACCAATCGTTGGATGTTAATGAAGTGAGTACACATTTCAAATACTTATGAACAATGAAAACACCATAACAAAAATTAGCTTGTTACAAATGTACGTAAATGTACGTGGAAAAATCACAAAATCTTACGACTTCACTAGATTAAGTGTAAACTTGGTAATTTAAAACAAATCTCTATGAGAAAATTATTTTTGAATTCTAAATGCAATTAACTAAATGTATAGCTCATTTTCGTCAAATTGCACTTACTGTATACCTTTTCTTTGTTAAGATACCTTAGAAGTACAGAATATTTGTTTTAAGAAGCTCTTTCCCTATTTATGTAGTAATATTCCACGATCACCTGCTTATGATGTTTATGTCTTCCAACTTATCCGATACTCAAGAGCATGCTCTGAGTACGAGCAATTTTTAAACCGAGGCAGGATACTGACAAATAAGTTAATGTGAAAGGGATTCAAAAACCTCGTTTAAAGTCAACATTTTGCAAATTCTATGGTCGATATAATGACTTTGTAAACAAATACCACCTATCATTGGGCCGTATTTTGACTGTCATATTTAATACCAATTGATAGGCGTTTGTTTTTATACTAAATTTGACTACGGATTACTCTGTCTACCTGATCAGAGCGGTTGTTTCCGGTTGATAGGGGATACTTAATCCTCCTAGGCACCTGATCACACCTCTGCGATTTTCAGGGTTTTTTTTTTAAATTCCCTGTTTACATATTTTTATCAGAGGTTTTTTGAGAACAATCACTGTCTGTTAGTTAGCTTCACCCACAATTACAATGTATAACGCAGACATTGCTTCACTTTTAACAGCTTCATATTACATGTATTTGAATTGCCTAGTATGTCGAAATTAAGGAAGAGCCATTTCTTTATTAAGGGTTGGCCTTGTAAAAAAATCGAAAAAATATTTTTATCTAATGTTTAACAAATAAGCAAGAGTCTAGATATTGGATATCATTTAGTATATGTATTGGCTTTTTTCTGGTTTTAGAAAATAAGAAAGAAAAACCAATAATAAAACCAATTAATTGTTTTTTTTCTTCTTCAGGTTTCTGAACTCTTACAAAGTTTAGGACTAAAGGCTCTGCACACACAAATAGAGGTATGCTATACTTCTGAAGTGTTCAGAGGTCCGCATTTGCTCTGCTCACATCTTGTATTGTTTAGTTGGACTGCGAGCAGGATGACTGTTCGTAATCAACACATTTCGTACTTTGTATTATTTGATTTTAATGTAATGTTTGTTTGTATGTTGTTTAACATCCCTTCTCGAGAATTTTTCACTCATATGGAGACACCACCACTTGCCGGTGGAGAGCTGCAAATTTTTGTCCTATACTCGGCACTTACGGCCATTGAGGAGTGAGGGGTCTTTCTCGTGCCAGCACCTACTGCGACACGGGACCTCGGTTTATACGGTCTCATCCGAAGGACAGGTCTCCACGTCCCACAGTGGGAGATTTTAATGTAATAGATCATGATATTGTACAAAATTCTTAAACTTTACAAATAAATAAAGACCTTGAATTTCAATTCAATTGAAAGTTCTCAAGTTCTGTTTAAAGCATATTTTAGCTGGATCCGTTGCACATTTCAAAAAGAAAAGGAAAAGCTTTAAAGAAAATGCTTCTTTAAAAAATTGAATCTCTTTACCAAAATATTTTGGTACATTCTCAGAAATGCTTTTTAACATTACTTAAAAAGCTTTTCAACTGTACCTTTTCGAAGAAAAATTGCTTACAACTGGAATTCTTTCATTAGACATTTGAGCATGATAACTGTTCGTTACCTTCACATATATATTCATTACTTGTCATTCGTACCTGTAAACAACTGTCTGCATATAAATAATATAAAGTATCAATTTTGATGCACCAGATGTGCATTTCGACAAATTACGTCTCTTCAGTGATGCTCATGCGAAACTTTTGAAATCCGAAATATTTAAATTAAAAAAAAAAACTTTGAAAAGCTGAAAAGACTGGAGCCAAATACGTCCAAGAATAAGAGCTATTCATAAGGGAAATTATCCATAATTTTGAAATATTTTAAATTTTACCACAGCAATTAATTATATATCCGTATTTTCAAGCTAGTACCGAAGTACTTAGCTACAGGGCTGTAGAGACCCTCGGGGACTAACAGTCCACCAGCAGAGGCCTCGACCCAGGGGTCATAATGTAAATCATATACAGTACCAATTTTGATGCACCAGATGCGCTTTTCGACAATTTTTTTTCTCTTCAGTGATGCTAATGCCGAAACGTTTGAAATCCGAAATATTTAAATAAAAAAAAAACTTTGAAGAACTGAACTGTTTTTGCCCTTCCTTCTTAATGTTGTAATGTTTCATTGATTGGTCCTCAACACCTTCTGTGAATCAATGCATGTAATTTTTTTATATTGTACCCCAAATCTTCCTTAAATATAAACCGTTAAAAGAACTCTCAGAAAAATATGTTTCAACAAAATCTTATTTATGCATTGAGAAGAACAACTAAGTATTTTTCCTGAATAAGAATTTTAAAAGATTAAAAATGTAATGAAGCACATACCCGGTACTTCTTTTATTATGCTTTATCTGGATATTGAGAGGGGGATTTTTTTTTATTTTACACATAAGAATTACATGTACACATAATCTATCCGATATTTAAAATTTCGTCCCTTTCTTCTATTCTCTGCATAAGTAACAATTAATTAAGTTTTAATTTAGTTGTTTTTTTTCTATTGTAGGAGGCTATGGATGAAGTCGACATAGACAAATCACATTCACTAGATTTTTACGAATATTTACTAGTGGTAGATAAAATAACTAAAAAATCAGGTAAGTCTTATTTCCTTTTAAAACTATTAAGAAGTGCCAGCCAGCATATTTTCATGCACATGTATTTTTACTACTTAAGGACAGATGATACAAAAAAAAAAATGGATGCCTGGATTGGTATATATTTTTGAACCTTTTTTGATTGTAAATGATGAGAATAATAAATATCAAAAATTTTAAGAAATTGTAAACTTTCTACGATGTTAAGAATTCTACATTTCTGCAACCATCCTTATTAATCTTACAGCTTTCTGTCACTATAAATCCCATTACTGTGAAACTTTGAATGAAAAATGAAAATGTTTGCGTTAAACTTATTCATTTTACTTAAACAAGCATGATTAAAGTTGTTATTTTCAAGATTTTTGATAAAAAATTGTTTGTATCATTTGTCCTTAAGTGTCAGTTATGTTTTATTATATATGAGCGTATGCCTTTACATTTTTCCTTGTAGGAAAAGCTGCTTTATTCCGAAATGGAATTAGTAAACCAGAGGGAACAAAAGTCTGCGTGATTCAGTGAGGAAAATTTTTGCCGTCTGGGGGGAGGGGAGGGGGAGAAGTGGGGATAATGTTTGAGACATTGGATTAAGTGCTGCAATATGAATAGTCACTCTTAGAAATGACGGTAGCATGTGCGTGCCAACGTGGAATATATGAATCATGTATCATGATAATTATTATATATGACGTCAATATCAATACTTTTTAAACATTTCTATATAGGTTTTATAATTCATAATTCGATGTTATAAATTCGAACAGGCGGTAAGTTAGCTATTTTACTTTTAGCTTCTTTAATTATATATGCAATGTACAGATTTTTTTTATTTGTACGTGCAACGAACTGATTTTTTTTTAAAAATCAATTCGTTATTTGAATTTTTTTTAATATTGTACATTTAGAATTGCTATTATATACTTTGTTTATGCTTACCTGATATTTAAATGTGCATAAATATCAAATCTTTAAAAACTACTTATTTACATCGTTTTTGTTTTGTTTTGCAATATAATGCACTAACTACATTCATTGTGATACATGTAATGCGATATTTATAAAGTTTTTTTTTTCGACTTTAAAGTAGGCAATATAACTGCAAAAAAACCAGGAACTTGTTTTCGTTTTTTTTTTAATTGCGTTTTGTTTTATTTTTTTAAATTCAAGTTAAATAATAAATGCAGTCTCCATTTCCATTTCAAAGTAGCATAGCAACCGCAAAGTGTGGCCAAACGATTTTAACGACCTAAATTTTACATACGGTATTTTTATTTGAGGAATCCAGGAAAAAAGTCATCCTCCCTTCTATCTGCGTACACTTTGCCCTGGTTATTAAATTGAGAGGTTCGGAAACATTTTTCAGTCTGGAACATCAGAAATGAGAATGTTTTAAAAAATGGCAATACATGTAAATTTAAATATCCTGTAGATGGAATATTTCTGCAATAAAGACCAAGGGGCAATTGATTTTTAAAAGTTTTGACGGGAAGATTTAACTTTCCGTAAGAAAAAAACCCAAAAGCTATTAGATGTGTAATTTAAACATTGTACATGTACGTGCAGTCTTCTTCTTATTCTAAATGTTAACAAGTTTTTTGTCGGAATAGGATTTAAACATCTGTTTTGTAGGCGTTTTATTAGGGTCTCAAGTGTTAAATAATATGATTTATTTAAGCTAATAGGTTTTTTCAAGACTTTTTTTCTTGCCACATATAGTAGCAAGTGGGTAACATTTCATTAATATATAGTTTATTAGCGGAAAACCTCGAGTGATCATAAGTGAAACAACGAATAGGTAAAACTTATAGAGTAACCAAGCCTTTCTGTCGCATGAAATCATCTCTTAATTATATTCATGCTAGAATTATTTTCTGCCCCTGCCCATGCATTATTTTGAACCCACATATGGCAATATTTCCTGATATCGCCAGACCTATTTTAATTAACTTTCCAATCAAACCTAAGGTAATAAATTTTGTAATTCTAAGATTCTATTAAATCAAAACTTAAGAAGTTAAAAGACATGTGTTGTACCAGAATAAAAACCCCATATCAAAGTCCGGCATAATTTATTATATAAAAATTTCATTGACATACAACACCCAAAATCACAGAGCTTCATTTCTATTGTGAATTTTTTATGGAAGACTATGCCAGACGATGGGAAAATACTTACTATGAGGGGGAAGACCTGAACACTTTGTCAGATTGACTACGTCTTTTTTTTAGAAATATGTTAAAGAATCTTGTCAGGAAGTTAAAAGGCAATATGCAAACCATATATATTTTTTTTCATTTTCCCTAAATCATAAGTTATAAAAGATTTGGAAAGACTACATGATTATCTGGATATCCATCTTATACTCAAAGTTCACTTCCTAAGGATGAAATTCTTCAAAATCATATTTCAGACTTTGAAACATTCAATATTCCAGTCAAAGAAAGTGAATTCGATCTACCCTACCTTTACTAGATTCCTAAACTTCACAAAAATTCTTACAAACAAAAATATATATTTCCGGGTCCAGCAACTGCTCTACCAGGCCCCTTACTTTACCCCACCGAATAATTGCTATTAACTGCTGTAAAGGAGAAACTTCAGACATACTGTGCTACAGCATATTCGAGAAGAGGTGTAAATCAAATGTGGATTATCATAAATTCCAAAGATCGTTTAGAACATTTGAAAGCATAAAACTTTTCAAAAGTCAGTAACATCAAAACCTATGACTTTTCTACACTTTATACAACCTTCCTTACGATAAATTAAAAACTAGGATTTTGATATCATAGATAACTGCTTCTTCAACAAAAGAATGGAACTTGGAAATGTTCATATCTTGTGATTGGTCATCAACAAGGTCACTTTATAAAAATTGGCCTCATCGACAACATCTACGAGGTCTTTGGAGACCAGGTCTTCCAACAATCTGCTGAGTTTCAGCTGGCACTTGTTATGGTCCTATAGTAACCGACCTGTTTTTAAATTTCTAAGAAAAAGAGCTTATTGAAAAACTTCTAAATAAGAATAAAACACTTGCTGTGACCTTCATCATTCAGATATATTGTGGACGTTCTATCAATTACTTACTTCCATTCATATATTGACTCGATATATCCCAGTGAACTCAAAATTAAAGATATCAAAGAGTCTACCACATCTGTTTCATATTTGAATGTTTTACTGACTATTGACGATAAGGGCCAATTAACAACAAAACGATATGATAAACAAGATAACTTCAGCTTTTCCAACGTCAACTTTCCTTATTTAGGAAATACAACCTGGCACTGGGCCGTATTTTGGCTGACATATTTCATACCAATTGTTAGGCCTTTATTTTTATACTAAATTTGACTATGGATTATTCCGTCTACCTGATCAATACATTGGGCTTACGGTGGGTGTAAGCGGTTGACAGGGGATGCTTACTCCTTCTAGGCCCCAGATCTGACCTCTGGAATTTCAAGGAGTCCGTGTTTTAAGCCCTGATCACAGATTTTGTATTGTTTTTAGGTGTTTTGATCACTGTTCCTTATCTTAAACTATTTCATTACCTCTTTTAACTACAACGTACAATCGTACAACAAGGACTTAGTAGTTTTATGAACTTTTGTCTAATCCTATCTTGAACAAAAAATTATGGACAATAAAATGGAGTCAAACCAGTTGTTTATCATAGTTTTATTACTATGAAATTATACTCGTACATATCATATAACTATTTCTTTTACATATTTATCTATGTTAGTCTTTGGTTGAAGAGAACACCTAACAATTCAAGAATTATATACTGAATATCGGTAAACTGTAATTTGCGGTAAAGATTAATTCTAAGGTATTTACTAAAATTCTTATCTCTCTCAATTCATACAGCAATTCTTTGAATGGTTTCAAGATTTCGATCATTAATTTGACAATTATGTGTAAATTAAAGTTCAGTTTCAGTTTTTGCTTCTGCCAACTTCTGGGAATCAAACCTGATTGATCTTCTTTTTTTTTAATTTGAAAATCTTGATGTAAGCTGTCAAAAATACTACGTAATTCCTCTCACTGGCATCTTCTCAGTTTGTAAAATGTTATTCATAATATAGATTTTTGAAATGTCAGTTATCTTTCGCCTACTATCTGACAACAGTTTTAACAAAGAAGCGCCTATATTCAAGTATTCTAATATCTATCCATCTGCTGGTATTCAAAACAAATTTCGTGGATGTCTTTAACAGATTTACGCCAGCATGACATTTTGTCTTGTGCTATGATAAAGTTCTTTCTCTTCGAAATACCTCCAAAAAAACATAAAGGACTAATACACTCTAAGTTATCAATATCTAGGCTTGAGCAAAAACAAGGGGGAAAAGCATCTAAAGCCACCAATGAGTCATTTTATCATGTGTAGGCTATTGTCTCGTATATTGATTATTTGAAATTAATACACTAATGTTAGATACAAGGTATAAATTTAACTCTTAAACTTGCACCCTTTTAAAATATATTTTATGGACTAAATATTGATAGCTGTTTCCCTCCAGGTGCTCCATTCACAAAAAGCTCTCTGAGGATATCCCAAAAACTCCAATCAGCAATTTTTTTCGGCTTCCCACGCTTTCGGTTGTATATATATTAAGCAAATTGTTAACAGTAATAGTTTTGAATCATAAACTATATTTTAAAAGAGTGTTGTGATTTTGATCAAAATACTCACCATTATAAGCAGGATGAATGTCAATGTGACGTAGGCAACACTAGTTATAAGTATAAACGAAATTTTCTTTCCAACCAGAATTAAATTATTCGAAGATAAACTACTCATTTCTAACAGATAAACATCATCAGCGAGATAATAAATCCGTACCATTATTATTTCTTAATCCAGATATGAACATCCTTTGTTAATAATTCTATTTTAATTACATTATTTTTCACAATACTAGACTTTGACCCGTGCGTGCACGGGTTGACATTGTTATGAATGCATCCATGTGCATATTTATAAAATATAGATACATCGACACATTGATATTGTAAGGTACTTTTGAGATAAACAATGAATGTGAATATTGTTTTGTTTTTTGTTTTTGTTTGTTTGTTTTTTTTTTTGCAAAATTGTTGCGTAACGGCGTAGCGCAGAATGGCTTTGACCACCAGTTAGCTATAAATCAAGTCATGATTTAGAATTACGCCGGAGCTTACATAAATTTCTCCTTTCCAAACAAATTTAATAAAAGAAATTATGGATATTCATTGAAAATATGACAACAACAAAGAGTTCAGCACTGCTGATACCTATAAAGCGCAGTTACCATGACAACCTTTACATATTTAGAAGAACAGGCTGTCCCTTATATATAACGTACTGAAGATCAATAACAATAATTAACATATTTCATCCACTTCTTTTTGAAAGTTAAAGAAATTTTTAGAGGTGAATTTAGATATAAACAATAAAATGCTTTCTTTGATGGTTCACGTGGGAAATGCACGGCGCAAGCATTGCAGGGGGTGTTCACCGTTGTTGACAGACCAGGGTCAGAGG